GCAAACTGTTCAAAGTGCTTTAAACGATTCCAGACAACGAATAAGGGTCTGATCAAGCGAAACGAATCGCTCATTTAAAAAAAAAAAGTTTAAGTTTTATAAGCTCAAATGGTCGCCTTGCTCTGTTCCGATGCGAAAATGTCTCTTTTTGTGAAAATTTAATTTGTGAAATTAGTTTTCTACTGCATTTGCTTATATTTATTTGATCAATGTTTTAATGGTGCTATATAAATAAACCAAACTTAACTTGAATCTGAATCTGCTGAAAGCATTTTGTCTATTAGAAACTGAGCAGTCTGTAATTCACTAAACATGCATATACATGTTTTATACGTGTGTTTTTATACATGTTTTATATGTGTGCACAGCATTGGAGTTGCATAGTATTGCTGCACACGCTGCTTAATGTTGTAGAGGTGGAAATGATTGCTGAGGATGATAAAGGCATTTGTTATCATTTCAGGAAGGGCGACTCACTCCCGTTCTCACCAGTTCAGCGGGACTGTGCTTGAGTTTGTCTTTTCTGAAGCTTGAGTTTGAGTGGAAACTCTGGTTTATAATTTCACAGGACTGCATTTTTAGATGGCTGGCAGTGTGTATTAAATGAGAAATGTGGTTTATGCTTATTTTGGCATTGAATTCTTGTTTCTTTTAATGTGTCTGATTTTTCACTGATTTATATTCTGATGGTTGATGCTTTACCCTGACAACAATGTTTTGTTGGAGAAAATCACTTCATATCAAACACATTGATCATAACTAGGTTATCAAAAATGTTTGAATTAACAAGTAATATTATTGTAAATATGAGAACCAGGTTAAACATGTCTGATAGTCTGTTAAACAAAATTATCATTCAAAGTCCGAAACAAACACAGAACTATTTTTAATAATTAATTTCAGTTCTGAATGAAATATAAGTTTGTTTATCGTTTTAGATAAAGCCTGTTATTTTCCACTGACATTATGTGATCGCCAAAAATTTTCACACAAAAAATAATAATAATATACTAATACTAATAATAATATAAATGACTAAATAAAAACTAAATAATGTACTATTACCATGGTAATATATCACTGTAAAATAAATAAAAGGAGTATATAAGAAAAATAGTATAATAATTAAATTTTACATTGCAAGTGTACAATTACAATACTAATATTTATAGCTGTCTTATTTTCCTTTCAAACGTTAAACCATTAAACCTTCATTTTGACGGAAAAACGCATGCGTGTTAATGTCAATGAAGGTTAGTGCTGTACGACTTAATGTGAAATATATAGGAATTTTCTGATCAAAATTGTCATTGCGATTGAAAATGCAATAAAAATGGAAGATGTTCTGTGTTTGTAGGGCTGCGCAATTTGGCCAAAATTTTGAGTTAAAAATACCAATTTGGCTATAACAAATAATACATATTTTAGTGATGGGCGATGATTAATCGCATCCAAAATAAAGGTTTGTGTTTAGTGTTTGTATAAATGCACACACTCACACATGCATGTATATATTTAAGAAAAATGTGTTATTTATATATAAAATATTAATATTTATATATAATATAAATTATGCATAAATATACATACAATATGTACATGCACATATTTCTTAAATATATATACATATATGCGTGTGTGTGTGTATTTTTATATATACAAAATAATTATAAGCAGTACACACACACATGTATTATGTAAACGCGATTAATCGTTGCCTTGCACTAAATTATATTTTATTTAATAATAATCTTTTATTTTTACATTGACAGTGTAGAATTACAATAATATGTGTGTCTGTCTTAATTTCTCTTCATTAAACTTTTATTTTGACAGAAAACTGCAGTCTCTTTTGTTGATAAGCGCTTCTCACATTACTAAACTCTCGTCCTACACTGAGAGAGATCATGTATCTGCGTGGGAATAGTGATGATGATTCAGCCTGAGATTATTAAAATAGCTCACCGACTGTGTGAAGAGCGCAGTGTTTGCAGCCTGATGGTTGTCTGATGGTTTTGTCAGTTGACGAACTGGTGGAGATCTATCATTTGTTTATTTGATTAAACAGCCAATGGCGTGAGATTGGGGGCGGAGCTTTCTGTTTTCTTTTGTTTCTTTGTATCTTTTTGACCAATGACAGATGGCAGGAGTGCTTGAAGAGTGTTTTAAAGTGAGACTGTGTTAAGTTGGTGAAGATGAGGATGATTTTCTCATTTGTTTGTAAACTGTTGTGTCACTCCCGATGGCTTAGGTCTCAGTGGGGATGCAAGAGTGGAAAAATTGTACAAAAGTGACGTGAATCCGGTTGTTGTGGTTTTAGTACTCTCCTGTACTCCAGCTGGTGTGTCTTTGATCTACAGATGCATAAAGTTCATAAAACACATGCAGAGTCGATGCATCTTTTTAATTTTGCAGCTCAAGTTTCTGTTCTACAGAAGAAAGAAATGCAACGTGAGGTCATTTTTGGGTGAACTATCTCTTTAATGCACATATTGAAATCCATCCCACGGATTTCACTCGCAGTCATCAGAAGATGTGGCTACAGTGAATGTAGTTCAGCATGAGTGATGAGGTAGTAATAGCTGTACTGATGTTACTGTAATGACACTCTCAGAGACATTTAGGGAATAAAAGACATTTTAATTAGATAAATCGAATCGATAATCAGTCTTTAGTTTGATAGATCTGTGATGAAGTTTAACATTGTGCAATAGTTAACGTGCATGTGTTCATCGCACCTCTGGACTCCTTTAGCAAGCGTTTAACGGCTCACGAACGCCTGAGTCTCCTCAGCCAATCAGAGCCCTCGTCCCACAGCTGGCCTGGAAACCCAGCCGAGAGTAATCACCCCACTCTCCGTAATGAGGACAGCGAGGGGTCCCACTGCAACACGGGCCATCTTATTTTACCTCACACATGCTCAAAGTCACAGTTAGGACGAATGTGATGATGGAATAAACATTCTAATGTTGTAATAAAGCCATGTGGTTATATAAATGTGGCATGTAATCTGTAGAAAGCATGCATCTGGTTCATGCAACCCTATATATAGCAGTGTTTCCTACAGGATTTTGTGAGACTATGTGGATGGACTTTTGTTCCTCTTGTGGGGTCTGGGGACATGAAACCCAAATAAAAAGATCAAATTGCGCAATTACCTTTTCTTTTCTTTTCTTTTCTGTTTTTATTTAGTGACGGAAACAAACTTCCGAATATAAGAGATCAACCGCTGAGTTTTTATTTTTACGGAAAATGCAGTTGAGCTTTTGTTTTGATGAAATTGTGATGGAAACTTTGGTTGAGCTTTTATATTGACACAAACTGCAGTTGAGCCTTTATTTTGAAGGAATTTCGATGGAAACTGCAGTTGAGCCTTTATTTTGAAGGAATTTCGATGGAAACTGCAGTTGAGCTTTTATTTCGAATGAATTTTGATGGAAACTGCAGTTGAGCTTTTATTTTGAAGGATTTTTTTTGTAAACTGCAGTTGAGCTTTTATTTTGAAGGAATTTTGATGGAACGGCAGTTGAGCTTTTATTTTGATGCAATTTTGAAGTTGAGCTTTTATTTTGAATGAATTTTGACGTAAACTAAACTGCAGTCGAGCTTTTATTTTGACGGAATTTTGACCCAAACTGCAGTCGAGGTTTTATTTTGGCGGGAAAACCCCTTTACAAACGCGTCTAACTTTGCTAATCTAGAGAAGTGCTGTAATCCACTTCCAAAAATGTTTGAAATTATGTAAATATGTAAATAATGCATAACTGGTGCCAGCTGTTACCGAATACACGCTAAATTCAACACCTCTGACTCTGACGCGGAAAACACCGGATCGCAAGTGTTGCTCAAACATACATACTGTAAACTTAAAGTTACTTTATTTAAATCACAGTCTGTTGCCATTTAATATTGATTTTTAGTTCATTTACAGATACTTTACCAAAGTAATAACGTTAGCACATTTTATGTTATTATGAGAAGTTTATATATATATATATATATATATATATATATATTTTCCAGTTCATTATGAAACTGTTGGCGGCACAGATTAGCCTATAGCAGGCCGCTAGAGTTTCTAGATAATAGTCGCATATTATTATAATCTATGTGTAAAAACCGGTAAAAACGCATAGATTCAAAGATTTTTAAAAAGAAACAAATTTATTCAAAATGTTTTATATATATGTCAAAACTGTTGAATAAAACATGCAAACATTGCTGGTGAACAATGCAATGCAGATCATTGCTACAATCACAACATGTTTTATTTTATTAATTACTGTAAGTTTGTTTTTAAATCATAAATTTTGAAGACAATTTAATGCTGGGTGTTCTTCATGTATTATAGTGTGTTTTAACAAAGATTGATACACATGTAAGTGTCTATATTATGCAGACATTCATAGTGAAATGTTAATTAAATCTATTTCAGTAAGTCTTTCTTTACAAATTGTACATTAATTGGGTTCCAAAAATTGCACCATAGCCTGAACTGGGAAGTTCAGGTGATGCGAGTTGTGTTGGTTAGGTGTTAGCAGGGCTGTTCTCACTACACGTTCATTGAACATCCCAATCCACCCCCAGACAAGGAAGGTTATCTCTAGTAGTGCAGCCAATGTGTTCCTTCAGTCCCGCTGCCGTTCACAGTGATGGTGACAGCGATGAACGACAAACACTGCTGTTCATGTGATATACTGTGCTTGTTTGATTCACAATGTTTTAATTGAAAGGATTCAGTGATTATTTACCACAAAAAACTCTTATTTTTGTGATTATCTGACATTAAAATGCAGTGCAGTTGGCATTACCCACAATCCTTTGCTCCTTTTAAATTTGCATACACTCTCTAACTTTCAAAAAAAGAGTCTCCGTGCGGTTTTGACATTAAAATGTTACTGAATTTAATCTTTAATGCAGGTTATTGATGTTTTTATTAAAATATCCTACTTTTATCTTATCTTATTTTTAGATTAGGTATTGTTTTGTCTTTTTTTAAGGTGGCTCTGCTGGGAATGGACATAGTTTCCGCTCTAGTGACGAGACTACAGGAACGCTTCAAAACGCAAATAGGAACAGGTGAATAATTTAATAATATGTCTTATATGCATTTTATCACTGATTTTCATACGTTTGTTGATTCTCAGAACAATGTAAATTCTAATAATCTCTTTATATATAAAGTGTTGTTTCTTCTTCTCTCAGTTCTGCCCAGTTTAATAGATCGTTTAGGTGATTCTAAGGACCAGGTTCGAGATCAAGCACAGTCACTTCTGTTAAAAATCATGGACCAAGCGGCCAATCCACAGGTGAAACGCTTTTGTCCTGCTTTAGAGTAAAACTATTTTTAAACTGTGGTTAAAACTGATAAAAGCCTTTTTTTTTTTTGCAGTATGTTTGGGACCGAATGCTGGGCGGTTTCAGACATAAAAACAACAGGACCAGAGAAGCTGTTTGCTTTTGCCTTATTTCCACTCTTAATGTGTATGCATCCATCAAATTTACAGTTTAGTTTCATTTAAAATTCTATTTTATTGTAAATGTCTTTTTCCTTTGTGCTGCAGATATGGAGCCCACGGCTTAACCCTTAGCAAGATTGTTCCTCACATTTGTCATTTGTTGGGAGACCCCACTAGTCAGGTGAGAGTGTTTTTCCTCACATCAGACTTTTATTCTGTATTTGGTATGGATTTTAGTCTGCTAGTCTATGGCTCCTCCTGCTGGTGATCACAGGGACTGCGACTACATGCTCATTTGATTATATAACATACTGAATGAATGGTTACCATTTTTACGTGAAAACCACAATGCAATGCTGTGCAATAATCAATTAATTAATTCAGAAAAACAAAGCAAAAATGTTTTTCCATGAAAAATTCTTGTAATTCTGAGATAATTAACTCGTTAATTCAGAAAAAAAGATTTTTTTCCTTCAAGTGAATGCAATACAAATTAGCCAAAAATACTGTTTTTAATCCATTGTCCCTGGACAGATCTTATTGTCTACCTAAAAGAAAAACACAATAAGAAAATTACAGTGAACAATACAAATATAGAAAGCAGACATAACTCTTCAAATCCTCTTGATAAATACAGTGTACAAGTTTGCTATAATACAGACATTATGTTAAAATAATTAAAAAAAAAAAGTATCAGTGTCCCTATGTGGTGTTTGTTTTTATTCTGTATTTTGCAAGAAAATGAATGAATAAATATGTTAAATAAATAAATAAATTCCCCTCAGGTTCGGGACGGTGCTATGAACTGCCTGGTGGAGATTTACAGACACGTGGGAGAAAGAGTGAGGATGGATCTGGGGAAAAAGGGACTGCCTCAGTCACGGTAATAAAAACACATCACAGTCAAAACTCACAATAATCAAATTATCAAAATGCAAGATAATCAAAATTACATATTTAAAAAAAAATCTTCTTCATGCCTTAAAATAGCTTGAATGTAACTCGACACCCTTAACTTAATTTAGTATACTTGGACTCATGAATATGCAATATGCAGATTAGCTCCGCCTCCACTCACTCACAGCTGCTCGGATTACCTGATCACAAACACGACAGCAAGTGTAAATGTTAGTTTTAATGTAAATTCAGCTATTTATGTTTGAACACAACTGCCTTCGGAAAATCATAGAAAGTCAGTGGAGAAAAGCCACGCCCCCCTGTGACGGGATTGGTCACATGTTTGTGACAGTAGGAAACAGACGTTTTTAGAGATAAAATACCCAGCAATCCTGTTGACTGATGAATTTACACATGTTTTGTCTTAAAGCATATTAAAAACACCACATAGACATATAAACGACATTAAAAGCTGGATTATTATTAGATATATAGATATAATTATTTTTAAAATCACTGCATCTTTTCTTGACATCAACATTTTACAAAACATATTTTCTTCAATTTGATTTTTTTTTAAATGTATAAGAATTATTGATCCCGTTGTGATTTATTTTGGGATAACACATTTAATTTGTTTTACAATAAACTAGTGACAGTGTATATTTGTGTGTTGAATTATTCTGTTTAACCTTGTATTAAGCTCGTCTCCTGTGTGTTTTGTTCAGGTTGAATGTGATTTTCAGCCGGTTTGATGAAGTCCAGAGGTCTGGGAACATGATCCTGTCCACAGGTGAGTGAACCTGCTTTTGTTTGACGTGTTCGCAGTGATGTGTGTGTGTGTGTGTGTGAGCAGGAACAGATGCTGTCGGCTTTAAATGCGCGTTCAGGTGCTATATGAAGTTAACTGAGGTTTCTTCTATATGTGTGTTTGTGAATTGCTCTCTGGTGAGATTGTTCCTGTTGTTCAGCTATTGTTTCCTCGCTGCCCCAAGTTTCATTGTGCGTGTGTGTTTTGTGACCCTAGTTTTGGTTTCGTTCGAGACGGTGGAATGTGGAAAGACTTTGTCCATCAGTATTTCACAGTTTACAAACAAGAATACATTGTTTACCCTTTCTACTTTGAATTATGCATATGAAAAAATAGGCAACACTTTACTTGAAGGGGTGTGTGCATAAGACTGACATGACACCTTCATATATTATGAATATGAAGGACGTTTTATGCATGTTTGTGACAACTGTCATTAAAGGAGTAGTTCACTTTTGAAAAAACACTTTTGCTGATAATTTACTCGCCCCCATGTCATCCAAGATGTCCATGTATTTCTTTCCTCAGTCGAAAAGAAATGAAGGTTTTTGATGAAAACATTACAGGATTTTTCTCCTTATAATGGACTTCAATGGGGACCAAACGGTTCAAGGTCCAAATGAGAGTTTCAGTGCAGCTTTAAACGACACCAGACGATGAATAAGGGTCTTATCATGCGAAACGAGCGCTCATTTCAAAACTTATTCCAAAAATGTAACTTTTCTAAGGACAAATGCTAGCCTTGCTCTATTCTGTGAGGCGCGTTTGTAACGTCACGTAATACGTAATTACGTTCAAAAGGTCACGGGCGACGTAGCCGGAAGTACAGAGTCAGTGTTTACAAGTTGAACTCATAGGTTGAACATGCAAACTAACTCAAACCAGAGAATGTCTAATTGAAGAGAATTGGCAGTGGCTGGTTACTTCCGGGTTCTGGACTGGCTGCAGTAACGCGTCTCTGTCCATGCGGGGGCGCTCGCTGTCGAGTGCAGAATGAATGGGAGTCAATGGGGTTTCACCCCCAGAAATCCACTTTTCTCAGGATGTAATTTTTTGTCAAGTAATTTGAAAGTTGCATTCAAAGGGGAGGGCTGAGATAATACACTCAGCTGAAAATTGCATTTTTAAGTTCACTTATCTGTTCTGAAAATCCGTTCAAAAACGTGATGACGTCACATAATAGCAGAATGCTAGCGTGTTCCGGCCAACAACGGCCTAACCTGTAAGACATCGAAAGGACATAAGTACTCGTTCATTCGACTTTTGGCCTATAATCTATATTGAACTTGCGGAATCAACAATAAAATCTATGTTAATTTAACGACAAGCAGGTGAAAGAGACACATTTAGCCGTTTAGCCCCATAGACTCCCATTCATTCTGCTCTCGCCCGTGATCACCTCCAGTGGAATTCTAATGGAACTGCAACCAATGGGGCTAATAGGAAGTGCCAAGGCTCTCCGTTAGACGGGCTCTGCTCAAACGGCATTTACAAAAAAAGGAATTAAAAGGTAAAACAACGATGTCGGACGATTTTGATTCTGTACTTCCGGCTACGTCGCCCGTGACCTTTTGAACGTAATTACGTATTAAGTGACGTTACAAACGCGCCTCACAGAATAGAGAAAGGCTAGCATTTGTCCTTAGAAAAGTTACATTTTTGGAATAAGTTTTGAAATAACCGATCGTTTCGCATGATAAGACCCTTATTCATCGTCTGGTGTCGTTTAAAGACATTTGAAGCTGCACTGAAACTCTCTTTTGGACCTTGAACCGTTTGGTCCCCATTGAAGTCCATTATAAGGAGAAAAATCCTGTAATGTTTTCATCAAAAACCTTCATTTCTTTTTGACTGAAGAAAGAAAGACATGGACATCTTGGATGACATGGGGGTGAGTAAATTATCAGCAAAAGTGTTTCAAAAGTGAACTACTCCTTTAAGTGTCCTAAGCTCAATAATGACATTTTGAATGCAAATATGACTTTGTTTGAGATGTCTTTATGACAACTTGACAAACCAATACATCATAACCTGTCAGTGTCTTTGTCATGACAACTTGACATAAAATGAAGATAAACTGTCATGTGGTTGGCTTTGATATTGGCTGTCATGATATTGGCACTCCATCACAGTCCTGTTATGCTCAGATAACTTAACACACTTTTCATTTTTGTGTGAACTATTGCTTTAAATGTGAGTGAGGTCAGGAGAGAGGGAGTCGCTGCAGATGCAGTGTGTGTGTGTGTTCAGTCACAAGACACATCAGAGCCATATTTCTTCAACGCAAGCCTCCGTCATGACAGCAGGGGACGGTAAGATCTCATGAACATTACTGCGTTTAGTCCTAGTGTGTGTGTTAAAGATGTGTTAGGGTTTGTTTTTGTGTGATGATGTGATCTAATGCATGTAAGGATCTAGTGTTTCGTCTGATAGTCGCACTCGTTTCTATTCAGGTGTGAGTTTAGCATCTTCTGAATGTCTTGAGCTGGATGTTTCTTCAGCTGCGATCATGAGCGTGTTAATGCTGTTTAACGGCTCGTTTGCTGGTTCAGTTCACGTGTGTTTCACGTCTCGGGTATCTGAAGTGCTCTGAAGTATTCATGATCATGAACTCAATATTTGATAGTCCTCTGTTCACACAACTTCAGGGTCCTGGGATGTTTAGGGATTTTCTGATAGCGTTTGTTACTCTCACATTCAGGCTTTTCAGAGGAAAATGTTCCCGTTATCACCTCTGGCCTTGTTTACACATGTATTTATGTGACCACTTGTGATCAGATTTCTATCTTTAAGGGGACGCTCTGTGATTTCATGATGAACTTAACATGCATTTTATAATGCACAAAATAAAAATGCACAGCAAATTGTGCACAAATTTCCTAATATACTGTGATTGCTTGTCAGGTCACATGCATTTCTGATCGCCTGTTGCATAACCCACTTACACTAGTATTACAAGTTAATCTCATTTTTTTTTTCTTGAAGGTTGAACTTTTATTAAAGTCAGTTGTATAAAAAAAATCTAATTTTAGATCAAAAAGAACACTAATTTGAGCAAATTGAAGATTTTAGACCCCATTTACACTTGTAATTAGATATTTTATACAGTACAGTTGGATTGCAATAGTTGTACCTCTCTCAGAAAATTTTAAAATGTTTTTTTAATCAAATTAATCCAAATGTAGTTTTAGAATTTTAAATCTTAAATATATTTAAAGTATCTATTATCAAATTTAATAACCCTTGATAATTACCCAATTAAATACCCAGTTTAATAATCTTGAAAAGCTAATCATCTCATTTTTTTTCTTGAAGGTTGAACTTTTTATTAAAGTCAGTTGTATAAAAAATCTAATTTTAGATAAAAAAGAAGACTAGACACATTCTTAACATCATTTGAACATCATTTGAGCAAATTGAAGATTTTAGATCCCATTTACAGTTTTAATTAGATATTTTATACAGTACAGTTGGATTTCAATAGTTGTACCTCTCTCAGAAAATTTTAAAATGTTTTTTTAATCCAATTAATCCAAATTTAGTTTTAGAATTTTAAATTTTAAATATATTTAAAGTATCTATTATCAAATTTAATAACCCTTGATAATTACCCAATTAAATACCCAATTTAATACTCTTGAAAAGTTAATCATCTCATTTTTTTTCTTGAAGGTTGAACTTTTTATTAAAGTCAGTTGTATAAAAAAAATCTAATTTTAGATCAAAAAGAAGACTAGACACATTCTTAACATCATTTGAACATCATTTGAGCAAATCTTAAATATATTTAAAGTATCTATTATCAAATTTAACAACCCGTGATAATTAAACACCCAATTTAATACTCTTGAAAAGTTTCTTTATTTTTTTTTGTCAAGTTAATACAAATGTAGTTTTAGATTGTTTTTGGAAAAGCGGGCCATGAATATGTTCTTTTAAATTGTAACAATTCATGTATAGTTTACACCATGAACATAGCCGAAGAAACTACACAATTTAATGAACAAATGAATGAAGTGAGACGAGTCGAGTAAAACGCTGAAGTTACCAGCATTAAAATGAGACTTTTTAAACACACACACACAAATAAAATCCGTTTTAAAACAACATTTAAAGTCGATTCGAGTTTGTCTTGTTGTGCTTCATAAACAGTGGCTGTAATGAAGAGAAAATGAGCCTCAGTTTCCTCCGATGTGTGTGTTTTCAGCTGAATGTTGCTTTTGTCCTGCATTTCTCAGCTGCCAATTAACATGCCTGCGGTGAATAGACGCCTGTGCTTGTGAATCAGAGAGAGACGGGCATCAGCTTCAGCATTAGATGTCCCACACCAGATCTAAAGGAGGTTTGTGCAGTTTAACATCGCCGTTTCGGGAAAGAAAACACTGTTTACGGCGTCTTCTGTGTGTTTCGTAAGAGTGAAAGTGTGTGTGGGACTCGCATTTTGAGATCAGCCCACACACACACACACACACACTACTGCGCAAAAATAAGCGGCTTTGGATTGGACACACCGCTGAAATAGGACACTTTTTTTTTTTTTACCTCTGGTCGGTCAAACTACTCGTCACTTTATACAAAACACTTTAAAAGTAGGTTAGAGAATAATTTGGCTGGAAAATGAGAATTTCTGATCATATATTGTGTGTTGTTTTTTTTTTTTGCCTTAATTAAAGGAGGGAGTAAGATCATTTAGTTTGATGTGTTAATGGACTGTAACATCTGCACACCCCAAAATCAATTATGAAATTATATTTTTGAATTAACTATATTTAGGACCTTTCAATTTTTTTTGTCCCATTTCATGACAATTAATCAGATTTAATCTTCTAATTCTTAATGTAATGATAAGAAAAAAACAAAAAAAAAATGAACAAGGAAGGTTGTGCACTTTACATAATATATTTATATTTAGTTTACTTATAGTAATTGTGTTTTTTTTTACTTCTATGTAATATGTCTCAACTTAACAGAACCTTTGGTCTAATAAAACATCGGTACATAGTCAACCGTTCTCTGAGATTTGTTTTCATGATAATCGAATGTAAAGAGTTTTATCTTTAAAAACCGTTTAGCGTATAATGCTAGTAATGGGGACATTGACTTAAAAATAATAATAAAAATCTGATAATATTACTGAATATTAATTGTCTTTCTATCAGAAACGCGTCATCAGTGTGTTTTAGATGTGTTGTGACTCCTTGAAAGTGCTGAGTGTTCTCAGTGTTTGTGTTTGTCAGTGGGAGCTGATGACCTCATCAGGAGTCATGATGACGTCATACTTCAGTCAGCTGTTTAGATGAGACACACACTTCTGTTTGTGTATAGGGTGTGATATTACTATACTGTATTATTAATATTTCTGCTGTATGTAGTGCATACATGTACATTTATGTGATACCCAGTACATACTTCTCTGGTGCTCTTGTGCAAAATGTGCTGCTCATGTTCACTGATGTAGTTTATCCCACAATGCAATGCTATCAGATTGATTTGTGATGAATAATCCAGGACTGAAGTGAGGTCATATGACAACATACTGACACATTTATCATTACAGCAGTATGTATACAGTCTAAAAATAGTATGCAGTATGCATGTAGTATGCAGTAATATTGTAGTATGCAGTAATATTGTAGTATGCAGTAATATTGTAGTATGCAGTATTATTGTAGTATGAAGTAATATTGTAGTATGCAGTATTATTGTAGTCTTGTGGTATGCAGTATTATTGTAGTATGCAGTGGTATTGTAGTATGCAGTATTATTATTGTAGTCTTGTGGTACGCAGTATTATTGTAGTATGCAGTATAATTGCAGTAAGCCGTATTCTAGTATGCAGTATTGTAGTATGCATGTAGTATGCAGTATGAATGAAGTATGCAGTATTATTGTAGTATGCAGTATTATTGTAATATGCAGTGTTGTAGTATGCAGTATAATTGTAGTCTTCTAGTATGCATGTAGTATGCAGTATTATTGTAATCTTGTAGTAAGCAGTGTTATTGTAGTATGCAGAATGCAGTATGCTTGTAGTAAACAGTGTTATTGTAGTATGCAGTATGTTTCTAGTAAGCAGTGTTATTTTTTATGTAGTATGCAGTATGCTTGTAGTAAGCAGTGTTATTGTAGTATGCAGTATGCTAGAGTTTCATTGTGATCGCAGCCTGTGTGCTTGGCCCCTCCCCCTGCTCTCCTCCACCCAGCGATCTGTGGGCGGGGCTTCATCAGTAATAGCTCAGCTCATCATCCTCCAGTTTACACACATACACACACACACACACACACACGGAGGCAGGGAGGGGTCGAGCTGCCGGTGGAGGCTGTGTCAGAATGAGGCAGCGTGGGAAAGCGTGACGATATGTTGAGGAAGCTGGTGTGCCGGAGGATCTGTGCCTGTAAGTGTCTCACTGTCCACTGCATGAGCGCCACACACACACACACACACACTCAGTGTCAGACTGACAGATAGGAGATCTGTAGGTCAGGAGGAATGATAGCAGCTCACATCTGTCTGTCTCTCTGCGCTGTGTGTGTGTGTGTGTGTGTGTGTGTGAAAACTGCTAACTGTGATTAAATGCTGCATGTTGACCGTGTGTGTGAGTGTGTGAGGTTTTGCCTTCACAACCTGCGTTATGGATCCTCTCAATAGTCTCTGCAAGAAAAACTGCTTGATTAAAAACATTAAACAATATGAGTGCAAATGTACAATTTCAGAGCGTGTTTGTGAGGGTGCAAAGGAATGAAAATGCATTGTATTGGTTGTAGAATTAGAATTGAATAACTAATGTGTGTTTATGGGGTTGTAGTTTGCACTTCGCAGACAAAATTGATCCCAGAAATGTGATGAAAAACCATTTTGGTAGTAGTTTTGGAGTGTATGAACGGTTGCATACTTCTCTTTTAGGGCTCAGTCAAGGGTTCGGGTTAGTCTGTTTATTTATATAAGACATTATATGTTTATGGTATGTCCTCGTATAGATAGCTGGATGTGTGTGTGTGTGTGTGTTTATTTCCCTGGAGGTTTCTGGAGTAGTTCAGAGCGTGTTAGACTATCCACAGTGAAGGATTGTGGGAAAGAGGTGTTGACATTAATGCATGATGAATAAGGTTGAGGTGTGTGTGTGTGTGTGAGTGCGCGTGCACGTGTGTGCGCATAAATAATTCATGGCGATTGATCGCTGGTCTGGCACATCTCGGTGCTGGTTCCCTCTCTGGATGGGAGTCATCCGTCCACACTAGGTTTTTCCTGAGCAAAGGAGCTGTTGTCCTTCAGAGCTACACACACACACACACAATATCAGGATGTTCAGCTGAATTTATCAAATCATGTGGTGCAGCAAGAATAATCGTGCGTCATCAGCCTGGTCTTATATGTACTCTTTTTAATATTTCGGGGTGCGAAGAGCGATTCAGAGAGTTGCCTAGCTCTAAATGAGCGATTCTCTGTCGTTCCTCAGATAAGAACATCGAGGATGAAGATTCGGCGGATGGAGGGCGCTCCTCGTCGTCCTCTAAGGGAGCGTCATCGGTGCGGCGGACGGGATCCCTGCGCAGGCCGAGCTCCGCTTCCAGCGCCAAGGGCTCCTCAGGTCAGAGTTTCAGCGGTTTGTGTTTTTTAGTTATTATTAGTGTTTTTGCCTTTTTATTGGATTGGACCAAGCATGCCGCACAAGCCCTGAAAAGTGAAGCCAAAGCGCCTCGATCGCCCCCCGGTGGCCGATCCCAGTATAGATAAACTATACTGTTAACTATACAGGCACGTGAGACCAACTAAACAATTAAATTACACTTCAAATATCATTTTTCTAAAGATAATTTCTGTCATTAAAGAGTAACTAAACACTAAACCAACTTTTTTTTTAGTTAATGATCTGTAAGAATGGATCTTTATTAATACCAGTCTTTGATTCGAGTAACTTTTTTGACATTTGTGTATAAAGTGTTTTATTTCTACAATATATGGTGTAAAAACGTCTCAGTGATGCCCTCTTCAGGTTGAACGGTGGCTACTGCAGTTGAATTTTCCTATTGGATGTTCCGCACTTCGTGACGTACGCAGGTTTCAGCTCACCACGCGAGCTACGCCCTTGGCAGTATAAAAACCATCTTGTGTCGTCAAAACGACTGTAGGGAGTCAGGAATTGGAATTGCGAATATTGAAAACGATCAGGATAAAGTGTTTTATTATCTATTTCGTCCCATCTAACTCCGCTGGGGTCCGCCCACTTTTTCAGCATTTTCAAATATTGCCAGTGGGTGGAGTCAGGCTCTGACCAGGGGTTTAGTTACCCTTTAACGGTAGTTTTTGATCACGCTGATGTAATTTCAAGTGTTTGTTTTTAAAATAAGTTTGTTTTTAGTGACGCTGTGGTGTGACGCTGTGATTGACAGGTTCTTTGAGCGAAGTAGTCACTGAAAACTTTTTTCTGGGAGATTTGAGCTTGAGATTTAATATCTAAATTTCTATAATTAATTTTTTTTAAAAGTGCAGGATCGTGTGCTTGCGATTGATTCTGCGAGAGTGAGGGCGGGGCCTTGATTTCGCGGCTTTACTTCCTGCTCACGACTGCGCATGTCTGGTCTCGAGATCGCTTTTGCGCAGACTCAAGTGCAAAATGTCAGCGCCTTATCGGGACACTGGCGGCTTCACTTCTGACCAATGGGAGAGAGCGAAGGGGCGTCGTCCATCTTTTTTTACAGTCTATGGATAGGACAGTAGAGAGAGAGAGAGAGAGGACAGGATCGGGCTCAGGCTCAAGAAAGGTCCAAGAGGCGGGACTTGAAATCGGGTCGCCCGAAGCACATAATTTATGTTATTTTTATGAAACTAATAATAGTTTTGGTCTTCTAAATGGCCGATCAGTGCTCCAGTGTTTTTCTAATAAAAGTAATAAAATATCTTAATTGGAATAAATATATATATATAATATATTTAAATATATATATACATATATTTAGATGGATCTATATTTATGCATTTTGGGATATCGCATGAAAACGCTGTTCTTGTTTCATCTCGTCTCCTCAGGGAAGGAGAGCTCTGGTGCCGGAGCCGTCGATGAAGAAGACTTCATCCGCGCCTTTGAGGATGTGCCGACCGTACAGGCGAGTCACTAACACTGAGCTGTCAATCAAACTTTAATATTCAAATGTTTGAGGTCAGAAATTAATACTTTATTCTGCATTCAGTTGATCAAAAGTGACATTTATATTTCTATTCATCAAAGAATCCTGATCATGGTTTCCACAAGCTGTTTTCAACACTGATAATAATCATAAATGTTTCTTGAGCAGCAAATCCTCATATTAGAGTGATTCCTGAAGGATCATGTGACATTAAAGACTGGAGTAATGATTAATGTTTGATCACTTTTTGACAATAACATCGATTTTTAATGATAACAATATTTCACTTTTTTTTACTGCATTTTTGATCAAATAAATGCTGCCTAAGTGAGGACGAGAGTAAAAAATCCCCAACATTTTGAACAGTAATGTGTAAATGCAAAAGAGGTCTCTGAACTTTTCAAGCAATCTTGATATTACTGTAGATCCTGATGATAGTTTGTTCATTATTAGTAGAAAACTCTCTTTTTAAAGGAGCCGTTTCAAAAACTTTTGCTGATAATTTACTCACCCCCATGTCATCCAAGATTTCCATGTCTTTCTTTCTTCAGTCGAAAAGAAATGAAGGTTTTTGATGAAAACATTCCAGGATTTTCTCCATATAATGGACTTCAATGGGGTCCAAACGGTTCAAGGTCCAAATGAGAGTTTCAGTGCAGCTTCAAAGGGCTTTAAACGACACCAGACGATGAATAAGGGTCTTATCAAGCGAAACGAGCGGTCATTTAAAAAAAAATTTAAACGTTTAAGTTTTATAAGCACACATGCTCGTTCTGTGATGCGCGTTCGTGACTCTCCTGTTCAAACTCATTTATCAAAATGAACAAATCTTTTCCCGAGTCAATTCGTTCATTTCGTTCGTTGAATTAACCAAATGACACAACAAAACATTTGTTTATTTTGATAAACGAGTTCGAACAGGAGAATCACGAACGAGCATCACAAAACCGTTTGGACCCCATTGAAGTCCATTATATGGAGAAAATCCATCAAAAACCTTAATTTCTTTTCGACTGAAGAAAGAAAGACATGGACATCTTGGATGACATGGGGGTGAGTAAATTATCAGCAAAGGTTTTTTTAAAAAGTGACCAAATCCTTTAAACAAAACTAATAGGAATCATGAGCGGCACGTTGATCTGTTGTGTGGAGCGTCTGTTTGGAGAACTGAGAGGACTCTCGGGTCAATGGCTTTTCCATTAGAGATCTCTGGACAGACGCCAGATTTCAGTGAGTTTGATGACGCTGTTGTTTGACTCGCAGATCTACTCCGCTCGAGAGCTCGAGGACTCCATGAACAAGATCCGAGAAATTCTCTCCGATGACAAACATGATTGGGAACAGCGAGTGGCCGCAGTGAGTCATTGCACATTTATTATGGAATAAAACAACTGATCCCTCTGGAATACTTGACTGTGATTGGTCAATGGCATCATTCTTTGGTCATATATTTGCATATTATGATACTAAAGCCCTATTCGGACTGGATTAGTTTTACACGGGTAGATGGAGGAATGTATTTTTACCACAGGACGTCTGTAATATTAATGGACCTTTCGCTAATTTCTGCTAAAACTAGCAGAATTGGGAGAGGAAACTGGATTTACACACACCGCCGTCACCTTCCTGCAGGGTCCTTAAAGTTTGGGCCTTAAAAAAGCATTAAAATGTCATTAATTCAGATTCGATGGGTCTTAAATACTTCTGGTCACATTACCCTTAAAATTTGTCCAGTCTGACGGATCCAATGTCCGTTAAATAACCAGTGAAGCATTGAATCGCGAGAATGATTCGGATTTTATTACATAAACAGAGATTGATAATCATAATGTATTTCTGGTAGCGCTAGTGATAATCTGTGAGAGATTTTATAGTGAGAATTGAGCATAATAGCACAAAAAGAAACTCACAGAAGAAACAAACTGAGGTAAACATTCAAAATGTTGAGTTTTTATTTATAACGCATGATATAGTTAAGTTACGTAACATGACGGGAGCTATTTTGCTGAATATTCTCACGATTGCATATGTAACATTGATTTTAGTTCAATAAACAAGTAGTTAATATTAAATTACTTGGGTTTAACATTAAATATTACATATAAGACTTCAAAATGTATACATTTTGGATTAACTTGTAAAGATTATCTTGATAGACAAAACGTGTAAGGGTCACAACTTGCGATTTTTCCAAAAGTCTATGGGGAAAATGCATAGCTTTTTGATCGAGGGAACCCATGCGCCGCTAGCTTCCGACAAAGTGACGTCATCACTTCGGCACTCTATTCAAAATGCAGGAAGGTCGTCAGGGATAAGATGGATACATAATATCCAAATCATTTGAACTCAAATCAGTAGTTTGTCCATCATTCATTCTATAGTTTAAGAAGCAGGAAAACGTAAAGCTAACTTGTCAGGATTGCAAAATAAACCCGTTTAGAGTGCTAAAAGTCAAGTATATTTTGTAAAGACAGATTGTGATGTATTGTTTGGTTTGCAGCTGAAGAAAGTGCGCTCTCTGCTGTTGGCCGGCGCGTGCGACTACGACGGCTTCTCCCAGCAGCTACGGCTCCTCGAGGGGGCGTTCAAGCTCTCGGCTAAAGATCTGCGCTCGCAGGTGGTGCGCGAGGCCTGCATCACACTGGGGTGAGCACCATGCGGCGTTCAAGAGACGCTTTCATCCAAAACAAAAGCCATTAGCTATTAGACTGGGTTAGGAAGCAATAGCAGACATTTATTGATGTATTATATATTCATGTGTAATGTTTAAATATATATTTAATTAACACTTAATATATTCCCACAGTGATGAAAAGTATCAATAAAAATTTTGAATCATATTAATATATAATGTTTAAAATATAATAAATTAACACATAAAGTTCCTGCAATACTGAAAAGTATCAATAAAATTATCGAAATGTATTTATATATAATATCTACATATTTATATTCATATATATATTTAAAATATATTTAACACTTAAAATTATTTATATATAATATTTATATATTTATATTCATGTATAATCTTTAATATATATTCAATTGACACTTAAACCTCTTGCAATACTGAAAAGTATCAATAAAAGTATTGAATTGTATTTACACACAGTATAATATTTATATATTAATATTCATATATAATGTTTAAAATATATGAAATTAATACTGAAACATTCTGGAATACTGAAAAGTGCCAATAAAAATATTGAATTATTTTTGTATAATATTTATACATTTACATTCATATGTGATGTTTATAAAACATTGCATTATAAACATATTATATAAAAAATATATTCATATTTAATGTTTAAACTATAATAGATTAAAACGTAAAGTATAATTTGTCAAAACGTTTTCACTATGAAAAGTAGCAATAAAATATAGAATTTGATTTTAATACAGTATAATATTTATATTCATATATAATGTTTAATAAACAGTATATGTAATCCTGCAATACTAAAAACCGGCAATAAAAATATTGAATTATTTTAATATAATATTTATACATTTACATTCATATGTCATGTTTATAAAATATTGCATTATATACATATTATATATAAATATATTTATATACGTATGTAAAGTTAAAGGACAACTCCGGCGCAAAATGAACCTTTAGTCTAATTACATATTGTTACCTAGTCAACCGTTATCTGAGATTTGTTTTCATGATTGCCGAATGTAAATAGTTTTATCTCTGTTAGAAATGAACGACTTCCAACAAGTGCCTTTTCCTCCACGTCCTTTTATTGAGTTGTGAACAGACCATACAGAATCAAAATCACCAGCGCTGGGGGAGCCAGAAAAGATAGCTCAGCCTCCCCATATGTGACATGCAAATATATATGAAAATATCAAGGGGAGTTATCTGGTCTTATCCAATAGAATTATATATGACCTCATGCCATATCATATATACGTTGTATAACATTTATATAATAACTCCGAATATGGTCAATATCCGTTGAAAATACCCTCAGAACCTAGGGATCCTAGAAGACTTTCTATATGTAACAAAAGAAAGAAGAACAGAAAGGGGAGAGGGAGAAACTCTCCAGATGTTTGAACTTACACACATACATACAGAGGAATGTGCAAGCAAAGCATAAACTCTTCATAGAGCCTTTATACTCTTTGGCCTAATGGACATAGCTGAGACTAAAAAGACTTATATTTCTGACAATGGCCCCTTTGATAATGACAGTTATCATATAACAGAATTATCATATCACATGATCAGCATGTCCATTATTACAGAATAATACACGAAAAAATCCTTCAATCAAACATTTCCTTCAAATCATTAATACTTGATAGTTCTATTCGCTAGAGAATATTGAGAGGATACGAAAGTATTCATAGCACGATAAATCAACATCCTAATAAATCGGATAATACAGCATCCAACCAAGTTTCATTACCACTGCTTATAAGCGCTTGTGTGTAAATTAGCAGATTTTTTAGCACAATCAGGTATAAAAGCGACTGTGCAAACATGACTTGATGGACTCAATGATACTTATTGCTAACTTAAATCAGCAATCTCGTTTTTCTTTTTTTTTCTTTTTTCTTTTTTCGTCTACTTCTCTTCCTCGTTCTCCTTTCGATAAGTGCTGGATATCCACCTCCACATAGGCTTATACGCTCCCTGGGGACGGGGCTGCCTTCACTCTGCTAGCATGGATCCACTGCGGCTGGAGGTCAGTCAGAACACCGGTCCTTGTCACAGCGATCACATTGGCAGGCCCAAGATAATTCGCTTCCCCAAGCTTTGTGGGTTTTAGACACTTCACCAACACCGACTGTCCTGGAACAAAGGGATGAGTTGGCTTTTCTGAGGGAAGAGGGAGAGAGAGAGAAACATCACCATTTATGCCATTTAACGTTCTAACAAGGGAATCCACATAATCTGCGATGATCACCTCCGTGTCACCTGTGGAAAGATTGCCAGCGCGACCTCTGACCCAAGGGGTCGGGAAAGGTCTACCCATGAGAATTTCAAATGGAGACATTTTTGTAGTGGCTGACGGAGACATTCTTATTTCCGTCAGTACGGCAGGCAACAAATCAACCCAATTTCTTCCCGTATCTAGACACGCTTTATTTAGACGTTCTTTTATCGTTTTATTAAGTCGTTCGGCGTTCGAACAAGATTCCGGATGGTACGGGATATGGAAATGCCAATTAATTTTCAGCTCTTTAGCTAATAATTGTGTAACTTTAGAAGTGAACGGAGTTCCATTGTCGCTTGCTATCACGGTCGGAATACCGAAGCGCGGTATAATTTCTTTTGCAAGAATCTTTACTACTGTCTTCGCGTCTTCTTTTCCACATGGAAAAGCTTCAGGCCACTTAGTAAATCGATCAATAATCACGAGCAAATACTTGTGATTTCCACATGGAGGCATGTGTGTAAAATCAATCTGTAAATATTGGAACGGAAGTTCTGGATGCGGTAAAGCATCATGGCGGATTGCCTTGTGCCTGTTGGTTTGAGCACACACTAGACAAGCATCCAATATCAACAAAGTATTTCTTCGAACATTGGCTATGCAGTATGATCGATTCAAATTTTGTATCACTTTCTCTTTCGACACATGTGATACACCATGATAATGTCTGCACAGCATTACAACTGTGGATGCTGGTAGTGCGATTCTACCTTGCTTATCTCTTAAAATACCAGCTTGATCTGGTTTCACTTCATTGGCTGCCCAATGAGTCAAATCCTCTTGAGTAGGATTTGCTTGCAGTATTTTAACATCCAAATCATTAATCAACGACGAATTCATCATCGGCACTTCATTGCTTTGTTCACTTACATGTGGACTACATATTGCTTCTTTTGCTGCCCATTTTGCTACTTCATCTGCAAATCTGTTTCCTTTGGCTTCATCAGATTCACCTGTTTTATGACCAGCTACTTTAATAACTGCAAGCTTCAATGGTTGCTGTGCTGCACTAATCAGTTCAGCCACAACATTATGATGCGAAATTGGTTTTCCGTCGGAGGTTTTGAAGTTTCTTTCCTCCCATAATTTAGCAAAATCATGGACTACGCCGTACGCATATTTGGAGTCAGTGTATATATTGATGCACTGACCTTTAGCCAATTGACAAGCTCTTGTTAATGCAATCAGTTCTGCAACTTGTGCTGATTTATATGGCAGTGAATGCGCTTCAATTACTTTATCAGGTAATTCAACAATAGCGTAACCACACAAATATGTACTGTCATTTGGCTTAAAGCAGGATCCATCAATATACCAATGCTTTCCCTCCTCCAGGACAGACGTAGAAACGTCTGGCCTGCAGGCAGTAGAAGTTTGGATCCTGCTCAGGCAGTCATGGTCGTCACTCTCGAATTCACCTTGCGTCAGCAATCTGTGCAAATGTACAGTAGGGCCATGAAGAACAGAAGTTACTTTCAACGTTAAATTAGCAGTTGCTAACAAAATAGCCTCATAGCCTGAACGGCGTTGGGCAGTCATGTGTTGAGTAGAAATGTTATGCATGATGGCTCCTACCTGATGAGAGACATGCACAATGAGTGGATGCGATAAAACAACTTTTTCAGCATCTTGTATCATGACAGCTGTGGCGGCCACTGCACGCAAACAGGCTGGGAGTCCCCTGGCTACTGAATCCAGGGTCTTAGATAAATAAGCTACTGGACGGAAAGTGCCCCCATGCTCTTGGGCCAGGATTGCAGCGGCTGTGCCTCCGTTTTCGTACACGTACAAATGAAAGTCTTGGGTGTAACAAGGTAGGCCGAGGGCAGGCGGCCTTAAGAGTGAGGATTTCAAATGTCTGAATGCTTGATTCATCTCACTTGTCCATGTAATGTCCTCCATGTCACCCAGCGTAGCTTCACGCAGGATTTTGTCATACTTGGAACAGTTAGGCACCCACAGTCGACAGTAATTGACCAGTCCCAGAAAGCTTTGCATTTGCTTCCGTGTGGATGGATGCTTGAATGTAGCAATGGCTTTGATCCTGTCCTCAGACAGACGAACTTTGCCTTGTGACAGTTCATGTCCGAGGTAAGTGACCTTCCTCTGCACCCATTGAAGTTTCTCTTTAGATGCCTTGAATCCAGCTTCAGCTAGAATGTTGCACACAATCTTTGAGGCAGCAGCACACATGTCCTCAGAGGCACCAGTGACCAGAATGTCATCAGCATATTGGAGCAAGCAGGTGTCTGGTGGGAGTTTGACATCTTTCAGTGTATCGTGCACTACTGAGGAGAAGACAGCCGGAGAATCTCTGAACCCTTGAGGGAGTCTCGTCCACGTGTATTGACAATTCTGAAAACAAAATGCAAACAATGGCTGAGTGTCACGATCAACAGGAATGCTGAAAAAGGCTGAGCTTAAATCAATAACAGAATAAAATGTATGTGCTGAAGGAATTGAATTTATTATATTCTGCACATCTGGCACAATCGGAGCAAGTGGTTTTATCAAATCATTAATTTTACTCAAATCTTGTGTTAAACGCCAAGAACCATTTGCTTTCTTAATTGGATTGATTGGTGTGTTATAAGGTGAATGAGTTCGGATCAGAATGCCTTGACTCAGGAATTGTTCAATGAGGGGTGAAATTCCCTCCTCTTTTTCCTTTGAAAGTGGGTATTGTTTTTGAAACACAGGCCTAGTGGTTATCAAATTCGCCCTATAGGGCTGAACATTTATCAACCCTACGTCATCTTTGTGTTTCGCCCACAATTGAGGGTTGACACCCGAAATTTCTGGTGTCAGCACAGTTGCAGATGAATCCTCAACAAGAGCACTTCCTGTATCGGTCGTAATGGAGAAAACTGCGGGAAACAGAAGTGTCAGAGAGTTAGATTCAAATTCCAATTTCATACCTAGCTTATGCATCAAGTCTCTACCTAATAGACAGAATGGTGAATTCGGTATGATTGCAAAAGCATGCATTTTAAACAATGACGGCACGTCATTACTGGTAATCGGTAAAGATGGTGTCAAATCGCATTTCACAGGAACATTATTTATGCCCACAGAATTAATTTTCTTTCCTGTGACGGAGCCTGAGTACACATTTGAACTTAGGGAGGAGACAGAGGCACCACTGTCAATCAGAAAGACATATGGTTTATGGTCAACTTTCAATTCAAGAAATGGCAAAACATGTGATTTATTTGGATATTGAATCGAAAGTAGTGAAAACTCAGACTCTTGATTCTGCGGGCCCCTTCATGCACGTTTCCATTCAGTCTGATACACAGGCTGTTGCTTCTGACTTGGAGAGAACGAAGGTTGGGGCTTTGGCCTATAGCCATCAGAGCGTCGACGCATCTGGTTCCTATTGGCCTGCTTCATTTCCAACTTCTGCCTGCAAAACTTGGCCACATGCCCTGTGCTGCCACAGCAGAAACATGTTAGAGGTTTTGGTCTATAACCGACCGGACGGTTCGGAGCTGAGGCATCAACCTGCAACATTATCGGAGTTTTACCTCGGGAGGAGACAAAGGCTCCTGCAGAGGAAAGCTCACGCAAACGTTTGCCAAGGTCATCAATTGACATAGTTAAAAAGTTATTCGTGGTGATTCGAATTAATTGAGCAGTCTCGTCATGCATATTGTTCAGAAACGTGTTCACAAACAACTGACAATTATCATCATCAACAGGGATGGCAGATTCTTCAATCCAAGCACGTTTAAATCTGTTAAAGAAAGCTACTGGACTCTCACCAGCTTTTTGTTTTGTATTAGCTGCATGGGAGATGTCTTGTTTAGCAGATGACAACTTCATTAAGAATGTTGTTAATTGTTTAAAAAAAAGTTGAAGTTTACCTGCATTGGCCCACACCCAATCAACATCGTAATCATCGTAATCATCCATCACGCGAACTCCACGAAAAGATCGCGACAAATCAACAGGTTCTGAATCTCTGATCAGAATACTACGGGCCGGTGGCGCGTCATGTATTGGACGTAACAGATCAATTTCTTCTATTAATTCTTCCTCAGTAATTTCAGCCGGGAGTGTTTTAGTTAATATGAAACGATAATCCCGCCCTGTCAATTGACTGTAAGCTGTCAGTCGCTTCAAAACTGAAACATACTGATGCGGAGTTTTAGTCGGATCTGGAAGTTCTTTGCAAATAGCTACAACGTCGGCAAGAGGCAACGGATGCACTTTAAAGCCGTCTGAAGTTTCCACGAAAGGAAACGTAGTCGCAGCCTTTAAATCAGGATACAGTTTATTTCTCACAGGCGTCTCACAAACTGCTGGAGTCTGAATGGACTCATATTTAGGAGGGTGGGGGACGCTTACATCGGGAGTGTGAGAGAAACTTTTTTTTTCTCTCACTCTGTGTGACTGGATTTTGAGCGGTCTGCGTCTCTCTATCAGGCTGCGCACTGAGTGCACCCTGGGAGGGAGAAGATTTTTGATCTTTATTTCTTTCTGCAGTTTTATCTATCTCCGGTCCGCGATTCCAGTATTTTTTCATCGTTTCCCACGTTTTATAGGATCGTTTCATATAATCAAAATCCCAATTTGGATCACCCCAATTTCCAAAAATCATGTCTTTAGCACTTTGCATGTATGCATCTTTGAACGAACCTTCACGAGGAAACGGATCTAGCTGTGTTTTACCAGCTGACCAGCCAGCTAAATTTGATAGATATGGTTCCGTGAAAAATGCTTGATCATTCCGAATCATAAAATCTTTCGGCGTTTCATCAATTAGCGGCGGACTTATTTTATTTCCCATTTTAAGCCACACAAAAATTTCTCCTCTAATTCAGAGTTAACAATTTTTTCAAAATAGTCAAATGAAAAAAAACAAAGGCAAATTGTTAGTACAGATAGGAAACAAAGAGATGGAGGGAAAAAATAGAAGGGGGGGGGGAATTAGGCCTATGTATAGTCTATTCACAACCTCAAAAAATGAACGGAGTTATTCGAAATATCTCGCGAAGATACTTCCTAAAAAACAGGGGAAAGTGATCAATTTCCTCTGTTCATCCCGTATTTATCAAAACACGAGGTCAAACCCAAAACATCAAAAGAGGTAGCAATTCTCTTTTGTGCTCTTCCCGCGCTTTTTATCAAAAAACGCGAGGAACGACGTCATCCCGCAACGATATGAGGAGAAATCCAATTTAACAAAAAATAGTGAGGGGGATCAGACCTCCTTTTTTTTGCTCTTCCCGCATTAATTCAAACACGAGGATAACCATTCTCCCAATCGATTACGAGGATTTTACCAAATATGGTAAAACTTCACGGCACTAAAATTACAACAATAACTTTTTCTCAGCAAACAGTAAGAACCAACTCTCTCCCTTCTTTTAAAAGAGAAAAAATTAAATTCTTACCACTTGGAGAAATCCCGGACGAGCCCCCAAATTGTTAGAAATGAACGACTTCCAACAAGTGCCTTTTCCTCCACGTCCTTTTATTGAGTTGTGAACAGACCATACAGAATCAAAATCACCAGCGCTGGGGGAGCCAGAAAAGATAGCTCAGCCTCCCCATATGTGACATGCAAATATATATGAAAATATCAAGGGGAGTTATCTGGTCTTATCCAATAGAATTATATATGACCTCATGCCATATCATATATACGTTGTATAACATTTATATAATAACTCCGAATATGGTCAATATCCGTTGAAAATACCCTCAGAACCTAGGGATCCTAGAAGACTTTCTATATGTAACAAAAGAAAGAAGAACAGAAAGGGGAGAGGGAGAAACTCTCCAGATGTTTGAACTTACACACATACATACAGAGGAATGTGCAAGCAAAGCATAAACTCTTCATAGAGCCTTTATACTCTTTGGCCTAATGGACATAGCTGAGACTAAAAAGACTTATATTTCTGACAATCTCTAAAAACAGTTTAGCCTATAACGCTAATATAATGCTAGTATATAGGGCATAGAGTAATGACAAATAAAAATCGCTTGTTATTACCCCTAAAAAGGCTCAAAATAGCCCCATACCAACACGACAGCATATTAAGGGTCCCTACATTCAAAACGAAGCATTGAGAACTTTGTCAGTGTCCATACAGTTTAATAAGCAGATATTTTATACACACAGTAAATTTCGCTAATACAGGAAGAAGCCATCTTGGAAAAATAGTCTCTACCAGTCGATCTACGAACGCCGATCCAAGTGCGCTGGTGAGATGTGAATAAGGTGATAAAGTGAGCGCGAACAGTAGGCTACGTGTACATATTGAAGACAAATAAACGGTTTGTGTTTGTGTTTCTTCTGGAAACAACGGACCATATGAGATTCTGCACAGTTCAGCGCACTTGGATCGGCGCTCGTAGATCGACTGGTAGAGACTATTTTTCAAAGATGGCTTCTTCCTGTATTCGCGAAGTTGACTGTGTGTATAAAATATCTTCTTATTAAACTGTTTGGACACTGACAAAGTTCTCAATGCTTTGGTTTGAATGTAGGGACCCTTGTTATGCTGTCGTGTTGGTATGGGGCTATTTTGAGCCTTGTTGGTGGTAATAACAAGCGATTTTTATTTGTCATTACTCTATGCCCTATATACTAAACTGTTTTTAGAGATAAAACTATTTACATTCGGCAATCATGAAAACAAATCTCAGATAACGGTTGACTAGGTAGCAATGTGTAATTAGACCAAAGGTTCATTTTGCGCCGGAGTTGTCCTTTAACACCTACAGTTCATGCAGTAATGAAAAGCATCAATAACATTATTTAAAAATATTTTTAAAAATATATAATTAAATTAATAATATATTTGTTTTTAGAAAAATACATGAAAGTACTTCATCTCCTCTGTGATGTAAAGTAATCCTGTCCACTGACAGTGTTTAAATGTACCGTAACCTGTCACATTTCTCCATGAGTGGACGCAGTTCCAGTTATACAGTGAGGATAGCATCATCTCGCCGGTTCTGGTGTAAGATAAACGGACCGCTGAGCGCTGCTGCTGACAGACTTACTTTAATGAAAAGAATCAATTATTTTAAGTGGTCTGGTTTCAAACATTGGATGTATTCCAACACTATAAGATCTGCTTCACTTCATGATGAGGCAGAGAGCGTGAAGGCATAAAGTGTGCATGAATACACTGATGAAACCTACTCACTCTCTACATAGTCAACTTCCTTAGTTAATGATATGATGCTCTATTACTTGAGGTATAGTGTCTTCGAAGGCAGCTGTCTCAAAATGCACCCTATGTAGGTTTTGAAACAGATTTAAGTTAGTTTGACCTCTGATGTGTCTCTTTCAGGCATCTGTCATCTGTGTTGAGGAATAAATTTGATCACGGAGCCGAGAACATCATGCCGACGTTACTCAACCTCGTGCCCAACAGCGCTAGAGTTATGGCCACATCCGGGATGGCGGCGATCCGTCTCATTATACGAGTATGTTTACACACACACACACACATCGGCAGCTGATGTTCTGTGTAACGTGCAGCCAGGCGTATTGTTGGATTCAAAGCGGCACACACAATCGATAGCATTGATCTGCATGTTTCTGTCTCGTCTGGGGTCCGGCACATTTACAGTGGGTTTGATGAGCGGTCAGCGGTTACACACACTGGAGATCATTCTCCAGTCCTGATCAGTCACAATCACTTTCATCTAGATAATAATTCTGAAATGCACTTTCCATTTTAGATACTCACAGATTCAACCGGATATCCTGATATTACATAGAGCCCGACCGATAAAGGATTTTGAAGGCCGATACCCATACAAATATTTTTGGGTTTTAAAATCCGATATTCCGATATATAACTTACATTTAGGGCTGTCAACTTTAGTCATTTAGTCGACTAATCGGACGATGCCGTCTTGGTCGACTGACATTCTTATTGGTCGACCAGTTGCATTTTTTTTTTACCAATAGAAAGAATTTTTCAATGATTTACTCCTTGATATTTATTCTTTTATAAGCAGTTATTTATTACTGTATTCTAAATATAATTAGCCTATGTTTTGTCCCCAACTTTAAAATGCTTTAATTTAGGGTATTTTTGTATTTAGCGCACACACATAATACACTCGGGAAGCGCACCTGTGGCCGGCTGCGCTCGGTAAGGGATGCTGTATTCATTCAGTTAGAACGCTGCTTGTTTTGGCTTTAGTCGACAAAATGTCCAGGAAATCTAAATCTTTTGTCTGGCTGCATTTTAAAACAAAGACGACAAGACTGTGGAGGGAGGCGGTCGCGTTGCTCCATTATGAGCGCGCAAGTCGCGCGCCTACATTTGAAATCGAACTTGAGCGCGTAAAAGACGTGAGCAGCCTTATTAGGATTGTTTTTAGGCTATTTGGGTTTTTTGTGTGTTGTTTTAAAACGCCTTGATCGTCAGGACGAAAGTTAACCCATAGCTTTGAAGCTAAGAATATAAAGCCTGTATAAACGAGAGCTTTTGTTGGGATTTTCCATTATGTGGCAGATAGCAGTTATATTTTTTACAGCGTGTGGTGTGGTCAGGTGCGCGATTGTGACCTAGGACAGAGCTCTTCACTTTTTGCAGTTAAAAAAATCACTTAATTTTCAAAGAATTGTATTATTATTATAGTTTTATTTATTTGTGATGTTTTTTCGTTGTTGTTTTATAAATGCTCAATGACAATTGTTTAAAAAAATGTTTCATCAAAACATCACGTTTTTTTTTTTTTAGTCGACTAATCGTTGCGCAGGACAAGACTTTGGTCGACTAATGATTTCTTTGGCTGACTACAGCCCTACACAATGCAGCGACTGTAACTAGAGATATGCTAGTTATAAATACAGTAATCATTACTTTATTTAGGCAGAAAAAGTTCATTGTTGTTTCCAAGCTCATTAATGTTAACATTAGCGGTCTTCCACTGATGATAGCGGCATTAGCTATAGCTTTGTGGTTAGCTAGTCTATGATGAGCCATAATTTAGCAATAGATGACATCATACTGCAAATTGTAAAACATACATTTTCAATATAACAGGCCAAGGAGAGATGATTGAAGCGTGTTTTGTCCGTTTTTATTTTATTTTTTAAATATTCATTTATCGGCCATTATAACTGCCGATACCGATATTTTGGGAAATATATCGGTCTGGCTCTATAATGTATATATGAATGTATGTGTTTTAGTAAATCTCTGATGTGTGTTTGTTTCTTTATCAGCACACACACTATCCACGTCTGATTCCCATCATGACCAGCAACTGCACGTCTAAATCTGTGGCCGTCAGACGGTGAGGACACACACACACACACACTGACACACACGCACACTCAACACACACTCTGATCTGAACCTTTTCTTTGACTTCCAGACGCTGTTATGAGTTTTTAGATCTTCTGCTTCAGGAATGGCAGACACACTCTCTAGAGAGGTGAGATGGTTCACCTGAAGGTTACACACTCTCATGTCGTTCCAAACCCATAGGACTCACTTTCTCGTATCTCTTACTCTTTTTCACGTATGACAACCAAGTGAGTGAATCAAATACAGTGAAGCTGTTCAAATGATTCAGTGATTCATGATATGAAGTAATAGTCAAATAGATATTTCCTAAAAAAATGCTGTTTTTCAGTTCCATACTTAATCAGTTTGATTGATGGTATTTAGTATAAATGCATGTCTTTTAATCTGATTAATTGAACAACAGCTTTTTATCACTGAATCATTTGGTTGAACTAGTTGGTTAAACAGAATCATCCACATGAACTGGTTCTTTTGAGTCGATTTTTATTTGACCCAGTTCACAAAACTCACTGAAAAGCTACTTTTTGTTTAGTTGTGGTTTATATTATTAAATGGCTTACTGTAGTTTCAAATCGCCTTCACTCTTGTTGTTCTGCCCCATTTATGAAACCCGATGGCAATACAATGACTATCTGGATCCTCAGGAGAGGATCATCTTATAAAGGGTCACAAGCCTTCATGAGCTCATCAGAATCACTGTGACGTCCTTGATAACCCCGCATATGTTCGGCATGGCAATGTCTGATGGGCTTCGCCAGCACTTCTGGGTTAATGGATGGAGACTCGTGTTTCAGGAGGTCTGCAGGGACAGCCGATTCATTGATTTGAGCTCATGTTCTGCTGTGGTGGAGATTTGGCTTCTCGGTTGAATGGACTCACTGTGTTTGTCACACTGAAAATCGTTTTTATCTTCTCTACTCTTCAGGAACATCGCTGTTCTGATGGAAACCATTAAGAAAGGAGTTCATGATGCCGACTCTGAGGCCAGATCTGTTGCTAGAAAGTGAGTGAATCTTCATACGGGTGAAACTGGGAAAATTAGAATATGCTGCAAAAGTTCATTTATTTCAGTAATTCAACTTGAAAGGTTAAAACTAATATATTGCAACAACTTTTTTCTTGATTTTGAGTTTTTGAACACTTAGTTTCAACCTTTCAGACTTTTATTTTCAGTTTTCAATCATGGCAGGATATTAATCCCAGAATATTTGATCCAGATATAGAGGCATTTCGCATGGCTATGAGTGTGATATTGCTAATATAAATATCCAAGAACATGATACAGCTTTTATTCTTCAAGTCAATTATATATTAATTGGAGAAAAAACAGTTTGAAAGAGGAAAGCGATATCTTTGTCATAGTATTTTATTAGTTTATTTGGTAACACTTTTCAATAAGGTTGCACTAACTAACATCAATGAGCAATATATTTGTTACTGTATCTTTGTAAAGTATGGTTTATAAAAATACAACTGATCATTGTTAGTTTTTGTTATCTCAGATCCATTAAATATAATGTTAAAAGAAACTACTTTTGATTTTACATTTGTATTAGTATATGTTAAAATTAGGGCTGTCAAACGATTAATCGCGATTAATCGCATCCAAAATAAAAGTTTGTGTTTACATAATATATGTGGGTGCACCGTGTATAATTATTTTATATATATTAATACACACACATGCTTGTATATATTTAAGAAATATTTGCATGTATATACTGTATATAGATTTATACATAATTTATATTATATATAAATATAAATAATTTATATATAAATATTTTTTCTTAAATATACATGCATGTGTGAGTATTTATATATATTCACAGTGCACACACATATATTATGTAAACACAAACTTTTATTTTGGATGCAATTAATCGCGATTAATCGTTTGACAGCCCTAGTTAAGATTAACATTAGCTAAAATGAATAAATGCTTTAGAAGTGTTTTTCATGGTTAGTTCATGTAAACTAATGTAGTTAACTAAGGTTATTAACGTTTATTTTTATTAATTAAGAGATATGAGATCTCTGATTGTAGTCAGAAAAGTAGTGCTTGAATGAAAAGTCCTTCAAAGTCCTGGAATTGAATTTCACACTGTGAATCTGTACGAACCCTGTTTTGTTCCAGATGTTACTGGGGTTTCCACGCCCACTTCAGCAAGGAGGCGGAGCATCTGTTCCAGGCGCTGGAACTGACCTATCAGAAAGCGCTCCAGTCCCACCTGAAGAGCTCGGACAGCATCATGTCTCTGCCTCAGTCTGACCGTTCGTCCTCCAGCTCGCAGGAGAGTCTGAAGTGAGAGACGCTCTTCAACACTCTTCAGTGTGTTTGGCACGTTGTGTTTTCATACTCGCTCTTTTTGTCTATCGTAGTCGGCCTCTTTCTGCTAAAACACCCGTCGGGAGCAACTTGAGCAGAAGTAAGTGCAAAAAGTTTAGTATAACAGTCGTTTAGATTATTAAAGGTACGGTCTGGGAACGTTCCCAATGGGTGATCCATGAAAGTTTTGATGTTTTTTTGTAATTTTCTCTCGTTCTCTCTCAGCTAAAGTGGTGAGTTCTCGCGCGTCGTCTTCGTCCGGCTCACTCCAGCGTTCCCGCAGTGATGTCGACGTTAACGCTGCAGCCAGTGCCAAATCACGAATGCCCGCTGTGCCCGCCGCTGCCCCCTTCAGCTCTGCCACGGCACTGCCGCCCGGGTCCTACGCCTCGCTGGGTAAAACAGCCAACACTTACACATGCACAGAAAACACACTCGTTCACAGTGGCGAAGAGCAGTCAATGAACAATCTGGCATAGAAGGGACTTTTTTGGGTTTTTTTTAATGTCTTGTAATTATTAATTAAATACAGTAAAATTATTAAAATAGTATATTACAAAAAAACAACAAATAAAATAAAAAATAAGCATAAATATATACTGTAGTCAACAGTTGAAATGAAACTGGAAAAATTAGAATATGGTGCAAAAGTTCATTTATTTCAGTAATTCAACTTAAAAGGTGAATCTTATATATTATATAGACTCATTACATGCAAAGTGAGATATTTCAAGCCTTTATTTGTTTTAATATTGATGATTATGGCTTAAAATGACATCAAAATGATAACAAATAAAGGCTTGAAATATCTTACTTTGCATGTAATGAGTCTATATAATATTTTAGTTTCACCTTTTAAGTTGAATTACTGAAATAAATTAACTTTTCCACAGTATTCAGATTTTCCGAGTTTCACCTGTACATGAATTTTGAATAATACCCTGAACTTTGATTGACTTTTTTGATTCACTTCAAATGTTGATTACTTGTGTATATATATTGACATTAACTGTAAATGTCTATTATGTTTAATTTAAAATTTAATATCAATTGTAAACAAATATCAATATTTGTCATCAATAATAAGTTTACTAATGATCAAATTAAACATTTTGATTCAGTTTACCTATAAAATCACTAAACAATAAGTTTAATGCCTAGTGTTAGACATTTTTGCCTTTTTTGACTTATAAAAGTGAATCATATAATGTTGAATTGTCCAAAAGTGTACATTTATTATTGTAATTTTTTGCATGACAGCAGACACAATTCCAGACTTATTAAACATACTATATTTTATTATGTTTTTGTGTTCAAGGACTGTTACTTTTATTTCATTATTTAATTTTAATCGTTATTTATATACATATGTATGCATGTATTATGATAATAAATTCAGGCATTATAATCTATTATTCCAATTTGAATTTTGAAAGACATGCACAAGTTCAAATTGGGTGTTAAAGAGAAAAAGGCCCTGTCTAACACGCGCTGATGCTGTTGTACTTCTGCTCTTATTTGCTCAAAGATGCCGCTTGTAATGTTCAGGGTAAGATGTGTGTGTGTACGTGTGCACAGGTTTGTGTCTCATTGTCCTCCTCTGTGTTGAAATGTTGTCTGTTTGAGACGTACACAGATGCTTGTTGGTCATTGGCTAGTGTGGCTACTAGATAGGGAGGTGAATTAACAACATTTGAGAAATAAGTGACATAAAATCACATAAAACATTTAGATACAACATTATCCAGTGTTTATGTGAATATACCTGTTTGAATAAGCAGTTTGGTCATGTTTATGTCAGTCAGCATGAGTCTTCACAGCGTCTGTGTTCAGTTTGGGATTGTTGAATATAAGGAGTCATGTGTTTAGGTTTTGTAATGGTGTTTTGTGTATGTATGCATCAGTTTGCACAGTTAAATTAAATACATTTTGTTATAAATAAAATATAAATAAATTATATATATATATATATATATATGTGTGTGTGTGAATGAATTATATATAATATAATAAATTAAACATATTTTGTTATAAATAAAATATAAATAAATTATATATATATATATATATATATATATATGATTTATTATATATATATAAAATATAATAATTATATATAATATAATAAATTAAACATATTTTGTTATAAATAAAATATAAATAAATTATATATATATATATATATATATATGATTTATTTATATATATAAAATATAATAAATTAATTATGTTTTGTCTTAAATTATATATATATATATATATATATATAATAAATTAAATAATTTTTGAAGTTTGCTCGTCCATCGTTTTACTACGTAATTTTTCTCATTAATTTACTCATTATTTTTCTCTGTCCTGCAGGTCGTGTGCGAACAAGACGGCAGAGTTCAGAAAAGGCTTCTGGAGGCGGAGCTTCAGTGACGGACAGCAGGGGGAGGAGCCGAGCCAAAGCTGTGTCCCAATCACAACGTGAGTTTGCAGTTACATCATCATGCTCTAGCCAACAAAGTAAATCATTAATTATGTTTATGAATATCATAGAGACATTAAATAAATACATGATCAATAGATATACAGTATGCATTAATTCCATTGGCTGCAGTGTAATATACATTATACTCCGGTATAATGTGGCTTTTTTTATCGTCCCTCTTAATGAAGAGATATGAACTCCATTTCTCTTTGTGTGCCGCATCATAAACATCAGCACACTCATGCAACAGATCATGCTGATGTTGAGCGTGTCCCGTGCATTGAATCATGGGTAATGTAGTTTCATTGACTCTCTTCACTGTCCCGCATCAAGGATCCAGATCTGCTAATCCAGTAGCGGGTAAAACTCACGGTACGGAGTAAAACATGTGCATGTGTCTCGTCATGAAAGCATGATCCACTGCGACAGGCGCTCGCTGTTGTTCACTGAACTGCTGCCATTGCTTCAGTCATTTGTGTTATTTGGCTGTCACACTGTATCCCAGTCCCTTTTATCAAAGTCCCTTTAAGGTGGGTCAGTTCACTCGGCGTCCATCTTGGTAACGCCCACAGTTTGTTATTGTTAATAAACTATTGAAATACATTGAAACAAAGCTGAAATTAAATATAATATCACATGAAAGACTTTTCCTAACTCATTTCCAAGTTAGCCTGTGTGTTATTTATCAGTGGTATTAAAATTTCATCATCCAGCCGTTCCAGGTGCATAGTTTGCCGGTGCTCCACAGTTCACCAAAAGCAAATAAACTATCGATGTAAATGTCAAATTAAAAAAAAAATTTAATTTTCAAGTCAAGTATATTTTTATAGCACTTTTCACAATATAGATTGCATCAAAGCAGCTTTACAGTATCAATCAAAACATGATGATCAAAACAATGTTTGTTTCTTAGTAGAGAAACATCCACGTTTAAACGTTTATTATAAGTGAACCACGCTTATATTATAAGTGAATTTCAAAGAACATATTGAAATAATGAAGAAATCAATATCACAACCCTTTATGTTTTTTCTTATTTATTAATATACGAGTGGACCGTCTCTGCCTCAAACAGCCTCTGTGTTTGTGTTCAAAGCATGTGTCGTCCTATCAGCTTTTACAGGTGAAACCCGAAAAACTAGAATATGGTGCAAAAGTTCATTTATTTCAGTAATTCAACTTAAAAGGTGAAACTAATATATTATATAGACAAATGAGATATTTCAAGCCTTTATTTGTTATAGTTGTGATGATTATGACTTACAGCTTATGAAAACCTTTTTAATAAATTTGGGGTTTTCGTAAGCTGTAATCCATAATCATCACAATATAACAAATAAAGGCTTAAAATATCTAATTTTGCTTGTAATGAGTCTATATAATATATTAGTTTCACCTTTTAAGTTAAATATATTCTAGTTTTTCCAGTTTCACCTGTGTTTATATGAAGAGTTCAGATGCAAAAGCCTCTAAATGCCATTTGAAATTTTCTTCTAGAATGATCATTTTTATCAGGCTTGTATATTTAAGTTCAGTGATTTCACTTAAATTGCAATGATAATTACCTATTAATTGTTATTTAAGTGAAATTACTGAACTTAAATATACAAGTTTGATAAAAATCATCATTAAAGAAGAAAATTTCAAATGGCATTTAGAGGCTTTTGCATCTGAACTCTTCATATATTCACCGTAGCATTGATCTAAATCAATTGTTGAAGTGAAGTGTGTGTGTGTGTTGTAGCGGGCAGTCGCTCGAGTTCGCCCGGGAAGCTGTTGGGTCATTCCTGCGGGAGAATCCCGCGAGCCGCCGGAGCGCCGTCGGTCAAGCGCTGTAAGATCCCGCGGAGTCAAGGCTGCAGTCGCGAGACGAGTCCCAGCCGCGGGCGAGACGGTAAAGACGGTTTCTCTCTCTAAAAAAATTATGTTAAATGACTGTTTTTATCAGTTTTGTTTGGTCCATCATTATACAATTGTTTCATAAATTAAATTAAAACAATTATTAACTTGAGGCTTTGGTCTTCTTTAAAATGAAAACAAAGGCTTTGTGTTTTTTTTATTAAAAAATTCCTTGCCTTAAAGGGTTAGTTCACCCAAAAATCTCCCTGACAGTATATTCGAGTCGTGACTTGAGTTTGTGTTTATAATGTTGTCATTCCCGGTGGTAATGCACCAGCATCATTTACTGCGGACGGACAGTGATATACATTTGTGTTATCATAATTTCCGACCTGCAAAGAATGATATGGAAAAATTCAATTGTTTCGTGATTTGAGCAAACCTTTATTGTTTTGTTATTTGTATATTCTTTTCTCTGTTGTTCATTATTTGTGGATGAGTTGAATGTTTTGTTTCTTCATTTCTAAATAATTTTACAGATTACTGGTTTACTACTACTATCACTATCATGTTATATTAATTTTATTATTTGTATGTTATTATATATTTTGTTATATTTTTATGATTGTCTTGAAAGGGGAAGTTGAATTGAAATAATAATAATATTTTAATTTATTTATTTGTTTATTTTATATGTATTTTATTTCACATTTTTATGATTTTCTTGAAAGGGGAAAGTGGAACTTTAATAATATTTTATCATCATCAGATTATTCTAAAAATAATAAAATATTACAATATGACTATTCTCATTTATATTTTATCATTTCTATATTCTTATAATATTTTAATAATATTTTATTATTTTTATGTATTTTATGTCATATTTTTTATGATTTTCTTGAAAGGGGAAGTTACATTTAAATGATAATATTTTATTATTTGTTATGTATTTTGTTTAATATTTTTATGAATTTCTTGAAAGGGGAAGTTACATTTAGATGAGAATATTGTATTATTTGTTATGTATTTTATGTCATATTTGTATGATATTCTTGAAAGGGAAAGTTGAATTTAATATTACAAAATGATTATTATTATTTATATTAAAATTCAACTTTCGCTTTCAAGAAAATCTTCAATTTTGAATCATCAGAATATTATAAAAATAATAAAATATTACAATATCATTATTATTATCATTTTTATTTTGTTATTCCTATGGTCTTATAATATTTTGTCATATTTTTATGATTTTCCGGAAAGGGGAAGTTATATTTAAATGAGAATATTTTATTATTTCTGATATATTTAACATAGTGATATTTGTATGATATTCTTGAAAGAGAAAGTTGAATTTAATATTACAATATTATTAGTATTTATATTAAAATTCAACTTCTGCTTTCAAGAAAATCTTCAATTTTGAATCATCAAAATATTATAAAAATAATAAAATATTACAATATGATTATTCTCATTTTTATTTTATTATTTATGTATTTTTTTTATAATATTTTGTCATATTTTTATGATTTTCCGGAAAGGGGAAGTTGATTTTTTTTAATATATTGTAAGCTGCGCTTCACAGTCTGGTCTGTTAATATGTGTCGTATTCTCCATGGTCTCATTCAACCTGCTTGTCTTTCCTCTGTCCTGTGCTGCTGACTCTTGCCGTGCATGTGTGTGTGTGTTAGTGCGGGGCAGTCGTATCCCGAGACCCAGCATGAGTCAGGGCTGTAGTCGTGACACCAGTCGGGAGAGCAGTCGAGACACCAGCCCGGCTCGAGGGTTCAGTTCGCTGGGTAAGAGTCCCACTAGTGACTCTGCTTGACTGATGCTTCTCTATCGCCTTCATTTACCCTTAAACTAGGGCTGGACGATATGACTAAACATACTTAAAGGGGTCATCGGATGCTGTTGGTATGATTCTTCATGTAAAGTTTGTAACATACTTTGGTTAAAATTCCTCAATGGTTGTGTAAAACCCTTTTATCCTCCTCTAAAACAGCTCTGTTCACAGCGATCCGTTTCGGTGCATGTCTCTTTAAATGATAATGAGCAATACAGGAAATATGCTAATACGGGACAGTCAATCAGCGGTCGTGAGCGGAGCATGAGCAACGTGACCTCATATTGTTGAGAAAATCTAAAGGGCTTGAGTCTTAAGGCTTTTTGAGGATAAATAGTGGATTTTTTTCATTGTATGGTGTTGCATATTTATAATCAAACACCATACAAAAGTGAATTTTGCATCCGATTACCCATTTAATATTTTCAGCCAAGTGTGTTAGTTAACCAAAAGAATAAAGTGCTTGTTTTCAGGTGGTCACCTTTAATTTAAAGTTTGTTTCTGAAATGTGTGTCACCTGCCTCCTGATCCTTCCCAGCATCCCACAGACACTCTCGCTCCACCAGCGCGCTGACGGCGGGTGACGTCCTGCTGACAGGTGACTTGCATGTGGTCCGGGTCACGGCACCAGAATCTAGATCATCACTGTATTTAACAGGGCTCGTGCTGAACCCGTTTTGAAGTGTGTACGTCAGTCACGTCCAGGTTTAGAGTGTGTTTCAGCAGAGTCATTCAGTGCATGTAGAGGCCTGTGTGTATGAGCTCATCCACAGGGTGGCGCTAGAGACCACGATCACAGATCTACATTTATTGACTCCAACCAGCTCAGTTTTCCTGGATGTGAACTGCACGTGTTTTGCCTCATTGTAACTTTTTGTTTTGTTTTTTTTTAATGTGTTTTATTTTGAAATTAGTGCCAAGCCAATTTGGAGATTGTGTGATTTGTATTTTTTTATGTTTATTCTGTCTGTATATAATTGTAATACACAGTGGAATGTAAAAGTCTAACAGCACTAGTAAAAAAAAAAAAAATTGTTAAATGTTAAAAAACATGAACGTGAATTTTAGAATTACTTATTTCGGTTAACCTTCACAATGAGGTTGCATTAGTTAACATTAGTTACATGAACTAGCAATTAAAGTAATTCTAGTTAATTTGAACTTATTATTATTTAATGGACCTGAGCTAAAGTGAACTAACAATGAACATTAGTATTTTTATTAAGTACTGTTACAAATGTATTGCTAATGGTAAGTTAATGCACTAACTTTAGTTAAATAATTGGGGCCTTGTTGTAAAAAGTTACCGAGGTTTCTGACTCATTTCACTATTATTTATTTATTTATTTAATTTAAAAATATTACCTTTTTCAATTTCCAAGTTTTAATTAGATTGGAGTCTGTTGGATGTCATTATATTTCTGTGTTTAATTTTGAAAGTTTTACTGTTGTAACTGTATTTGGTTACACTTTATTTTAAAGTGTCTGTGTTACAGAGTAATTTATGCATTTAAGTACTGAGTAATATTAAGTAACTCCATGTACCTACTATAGGTTTAGGGTTTGGTTTAGGGTTGCATAGTATTATGCATAATTTATAGTAACTACATGTAAAACAAAGGCGTAACACTTTATTTTATAGTGTCCTTGTTACATATGTTACATGTACTTACCATAGTAATAACAGTAAATGATGCATAATTACATGCAACTAACCCTCAACCAAACCCCTATATATTACTCAGTACTTAAATATATAATTACTGTGTAACAATGACACCTTAAAATAAAGTGTAACCAACAAAGTGGTTTTATTTTTGTACATTTTATTTATTTTTTTTGTTGGTAATGGACATTTATTTTATAGTTTGCGTTTGTTTGAGTTGTGTGCTGTGATGCTAATGAACAAGGAGCATGTCATGATTTTGAGTGTTTTATTTTGTCCTGATTAAAAACATTTCACTGCATGTTTCTTATATATATATATGTGTATATATATATATGGTCCTTTTTATGTGCATGTGCTCCTCAAACTCCTCTGAGAGCATGAGGCACTACTGACCTCTCTCTCTCTCTCTCTCTCTCTCTCAGATCGTTACGGGCTCATCCATCAGGCCCGTATCTCTGCGTCTGTGAACGCCATGCGGATCTTGAACACGGGCACTGAGGTGGAGGCGGCTGTGGCAGATGCTCTGGTGAGAATCACGTCTCTGCATCAGCGCTGAGCGTCTCATTAACATCTGTTATCATATTCCTGATGTTTCTGTCTTTACTTTCCCTCTTCAGCTTTTAGGAGACTCCAGGAGTAAGGTAATTGAATTATTGATACCCGATTGTGTCTACTGTAGTGTCAAAATCATCATTATTTCATTTGATCTGTGGTTTCAGTAACACTTCATAATTAGCTAATGCTTAAATTAGGGCTGGCGAACGATTAATCGCGATTAATCACATCCAAAATAAAAGTTTGTGTTTACATAATATGTGTGTGTGGTGTGTATAATTAATTTGTATATATAATATAAATACCCACACATGCATGTGTTTATTTAAGAAAAATGTGTTATTAATATATCACATATTTAAATTTATATATAAATATTAATTATGTATAAATATATATAAAGTATACATGCAAATATTTCTTAAATATATACATTTATGTGTGTATTTAACTACACAAATTAATTATACACACACCACACATATATTATGTAAACAGAAACTTTTATTTTGGATGCGATTAATCGTTGCCCATCCCTCGCTTAAATCAACTTTAACTGACAATGATCAATATATTTGTGACAGTATTTATTCATCTGTTCATTGTTAGTTCAGGTCTATTAAATAATATTAACAGATACAACTTTTGATTTTAATAATGTATTAGTAAATTATGTAATTGACATTTACTTTGATTGATAAAAGCTTTAGAAACATTGTACATTTAACTAATGTAGTTAACTAATTGTAAAGTGTTGCTGTGGTTTCTTTAAAAATTCAACAAAACACACATAGATGGGCCTAATCGTCATTAAAATAATGTCATAATGACAAAACAATTTTAATGAGCATTAAAACTAGAAATCATTTTCTCTACACAAAATATTTACAGTACAGTTCAAAAGTTTGAATCCAATAAGACATTTTAAGAATTTTAAGACATTTACTTGATCGAAAATACAGTAAAAATAGTTAATTTGTTCTATGTGAATATATAGGAAAATGTAAAATTCCAAAATCTGAATTTCCAGCATCATTACTCTTATAATTACTACTTTCAATGTTGAAAACAGTTCATTATTTTTGTGGAAACTGTGATGCATTTTGTTTTTTCAAGATAATTGAATAGAAAGAATTAAAGTATTGTTTTCTTGACCCCAAACTTGTGAATGGTATAGTACATTTTTAATTATTTCTTCTGATTTTGAGATGATTTTGGCCTGTAATTGTTTAAACACATCCATGAGCATCAATCTCTGCATGTCTCTTTTCTGTTAAATCAATGTCAGTTTCTTTAGCATGGCGTCATAATCTGAAAGCGTGTTGCGTATCTCTCTGTCCCGTAGCAGAGGCCGATGCGTCGACGATTCGAGTCTCCCGGCATGTACTCTGATGACGACGCGAACAGCGACGCGTCCAGCGCGTGCTCCGAGCGCTCCTACAGCTCTCGCAACGGTGCGATGCCGCATTACCTGCGTCAGACGGAGGACGTGGCCGAGATCCTGAACCACTGCGCCAGCGCTAACTGGTCCGAGAGGAAAGAGGGGCTCCTGGGACTCCAGAACCTGCTGAAGAGCCAGAGAGTCCTCAGGTACACGCGAGACCAGCTACTGATGATGACTATGAAGAAATTCATTTATTACAGGGTGCTTGAATTTGACCTGGAAAACCCCTTGAAAACAGCCATATTTATGAAAAGTGCTTGAACTATTGAAAGACAATAAATGTGAAAGTAGTGTTTAATTGAATCTTTTCACGCAAAATTAATGCTGTGGCTCGTCTGATATAGATATAGAGCAATTTTGATATTGCTCATATTAATATCCAAGATTATGATATAGCTTTCATTCTTGAGGGGGAGAAAATCAGTTTGAAAGAGGATATAGTATCCTTTCAATTGTTAAAGTTACCACAGTCATTGCATGTGCTGCACTTTATTTGTACCATTTTGTTTTATTGGTTTATTTTTATTGATCTATTTACCTTTTTTGCTTGAATGAAAAGTCCTTAAGTAAGAATTGAATTTGACCGTATCTGCACAAACTCTGTATTTATACTTTATTTTGATGGTCCACTTTAGATATTATAAGTGACTTTCATTAGAGTATTGGTAGACTGATAGGTTTCAGGTTAGTAGAATAAGTTGATGTGTAGTTGCAGAGTTTCTTATAGTTGGTTGGATTTCTTAATTAACATTTACATAGGCCTACTGTTTATGCATTTAGCAAACGCTTTTATCCGAAGACAGATGTTATTAGTTTTTTTAATGTCTATATAGTTTTAATTAATTTTTTCATTTCAGTTGTAGTTTTAGTTATTTATCATATTAAACTAAATGAGAAACGTTACCTAACTAGCTATTATAAATTATGTTTACTTTTTTTAAACTTATTGCAGGTAACATTCATTTTATAAATTAATGAATTTATTAATTAACAATTTTTTATTTTTTTTTTATTTTTTATTTATTTTGGCATGTGACACTAAATGAAAATGAGAAATCTTGCCTTGGCAACTAGCTGAAATAAAATGTTTAATTTATTATATACAATTTTTGTTTTAAGGTAAAGTTTGTTTTATAAAGTAATGGATTTTATTAAGTATCAAACTGTTTTATGGTCGAATTTTTTGTTACGTATTCTCTGGCTTTTTGTGTTTTGTTAATGGGACTTTTAATTTGCATTTACCCTGGTTCTGTTCCAGTTTCCTGTCTTGTCTGCCATTTTTGTAGTCCTTTATAGTTTTTCTTTTACGCATGGAAAATACCTAACAGAAAACCTACAAAGGACTACAAAAATGGCAGACAAGACTGGAAACAGGAACAGAACCAGGATAAATGCAAATTAAAAGTCCCATTAACAAAACACAAATCCAGGGGATACATCAAAGTTTTAGTTAACTATCATAACCCTGTACCATTATCATCGATTCAGTTCAGATATGGAAAGTGAATTCTAAATGTAAACTGTGAGTGTGTCTCTGTTTCAGTCGTGTAGAGCTGAAGAGATTGTGTGAGATCTTCACCAGGATGTTTGCAGATCCTCACAGCAAGGTGACATTTCATCTATTCAAATAACTCACATAACTTCAGATGCTTATGTTTGTTATGACTTCTAATGCTAATGAATTTTGTTTTTCTTTATTTTCTGCTGGCGGTTTGGGACGATGCATCAGAGAGTAAGTGTTTAAACCTTAAAATACCGTAAACAAAATACCTTTTAAAAACATCAGGATTTATTTATTTGTTTAAATATTAGTACATCAAGTTAAACTAAATGAAAATAAGTAATGTTGAGTTGGCGATTATTTGAAATAAATTTTTATTTCAGTCAGTGCTATTTTAGTATAAAATAATATTTTATGTTATTATATTTCATGTAACAAAATATGGTATTTTTATACCATAGTTTTCCTGTTTAGTTATGACAATCGTGAATTCAGTTAACTTTTTATTTCATTTCCAGTAGCTAAAATGTTTTTTTTTAACGCTAACCGCAGTTTTTGCAAGTTCAAGCATAAAATTGCCTAAATATCCTGCATATTCCATCGCATTTTTAAAGAAAACGGGCCGCATAATCAAGGATTTTTGCCCACAACACTCACAAAAATACTCTGGATTACAGTATTACATGTGAAAAAACAGTGTCTTTGTTGCTCTCAATTAGAATTACACTTCAATTTCTACTTTAAAGTAGAACAGAGGACATTAACCGAAGATTCTTATCAAAGAGGGCGGAGCCTAACTATTACATCATCACCACGGACCAATGGGCGTTTAGTAGCGGAGTGAACTTTTCCAGAAAGTTTACTTTGTCAAGCTGTTTCGATCTCCCTAAACAAACTTCATTTTTGGCCTGATTTTGTTCGAAATTAAATCACACTTGGATTACGATTGAAGTTTTAGTTTTAGTTAACTTTAATAATCCTAGTTTACGAGGATGCAAGACGTCCATCTGACATGAACCAACAATTAAAACATATTAGACGGAATTCTACACATTTTATAAATGTGTGTGTGTGTGTGTTTATCAGGTGTTCAGCATGTTCCTGGAGACGTTGGTGGACTTCATCACGTTACACAGAGAGGAGCTTCAGGATTGGCTGTTTATTTTGCTCACGCAGTTGCTGAAGAAAATGGGGGCCGATCTTCTGGGGTCCGTCCAGGCCAAAGTTCAGCGAGCGCTCGACGTCACCAGGTCTGAACCGCCTCGAGTCCAATCTCCATATGTAGTGTCTATGAGTATTAAACCTCAAAAAAACTGCAATTGAAATAAACACACATTCATTCAACTTCACAGCAGAGCTTTTATGAGAGTCACAAGAGTTTTACCATTTCATTTGATAAAACTAGCGTCATTCATTCGTATCATACACACTTAAAAGTCTTCCATGACAACCTGTCAAAATAAAAGTTTTGCATAACTTGAGGAAAATATAACTATACAGTATTACTATTGCACAGTAGAGCATACTTCAAGTAGGCCTAATAATAATAATAATAGTTTATTAAAACACACAGAAACTCAAAAGTGTGTAGAGAGAAAGAAGGTAACCCATTGTAAGATGTAATTTTTAGTGGTATATCACAGTATATTCATTACAAAAACATGGAGACATCACCACTGGTCTAGCCTGTAATTGCTATTTCTAGAGTTTTTTGTTGATTTCTTCTTGTGTTTGGTTTTCACAGGGATTCGTTTCCGTACGATCAGCAGTTCAACATCCTGATGCGGTTTATTGTTGATCAGACACAGACACCGAACCTCAAGGTTGGTCAGGTCTTTATTTCCTCCCTGCTCTTCTTCATTATGGCTGTGTCATCTTGACGCTTACAACCAGCGTCCAGAAATAACTTCGGTAACACTTAAGGTTCATTAGTTAACTACACAATGACTAACAGCATTTATTACTGTAATCTTAGCTAATGTTAATTTCAACATTTACTAATATATTATTAAAATCAAAAGTTGTATTTGTTAATATTAGTTATGCACTGTGAAGTAGCATGAACAAATAATGTATTTTATTAAGTAATGTTAACAAAGATTAAGAAATACTGTAACAAATGCATTGCTCATTGTTAGTTAATTTTAGTTAATACATTTTCTAATGTTAACAAATGACACCTTTTTGTAAAGTGTTATCATAACTTCTAATATCCCATCAAACCACCCTGTGCATTTTGGATTAAAATATATATATATAAAAAAATTTTTTGATAATAATTTGTTTAAATAATTTTAAAATAAAATTTGAAATAAAATTTATATTTAAATAATATTATGGAAAATGATTAATAGTTTATTATAATTAAGATTTTGTTCATAAAAATATAATGTATTTACACATTAACTAACATTTGCTACAGTATTTATTAATCTAGTTAAAAAAATATATCTAAAAAAAATTGATAATAATATGTTTAAATAATGTTAAAATAAAATTTGAAATAAAATTTGTATTTAAATAATATTATGGAAAATGATTAATAATTTATTATAATTAAGCTTTTTCATAAAAATATAATGTATTTACACATTCAGTAACATTTGCTACAGTATTTATTAATCTATAAATAATAATAATATTTAAATAAATTATGGAAAATGATTAATCATTTATTATAATTAAGCTTTTTTTCATAAAAATATAATGTATTTACACATTAACTAACATTTGCTACAGTATTTATTAATCTAGTTAACGTGGTAAATAAACAAATATTGATGATTCTAAGTTCATATTAGATCAGGTTCAGTAAATAATATTAGCTTATACTTTTGATTTTTTTATTAATAATGTATTAGGAAATGTTGAAATTAACATTTGCTAAGATTGTTAAATGTTTTAGTAGTATTTTACATTGTTAGTTGATGTTAACTAATGTGAACAAATGGAACCTTATTGTTATTTTAGTATCATTTAGCTCCTATTTTGTATTGCTATTTATTTTAATTTTATTTTAATTTTTTTATATTTTAATTGTAATTTTAGTTAATGTTTTGTCATTGTTATTAGTTTTTTAACTGCCTGGATAGTTTTTATTTATTTTCATTTCAATCATTTTAATTAAAAAGGAAATGTTACCTTGACAAGTAGCTGAAATAAACATGTGTGTGTGTGTGTGTGTGTGTGTGTGTGTGTGTGTGTGTGTGTGTGAGCAGGTGAAGGTGGCCATCCTGAAGTACATCGAATCTTTGGCCAGACAAATGGATCCGTCAGACTTCGTGAACTCCAGCGAGACGCGATTGGCCGTCTCTCGGATCATCACGTGGACCACAGAACCGAAGAGCTCGGACGTCAGAAAGGTCAGTGTTCAGTTTCTGTGGGATCTCACGGCTCGGGTCCGGATGAGACGTTGCTCGAGCTCAAGTTGAAGTGTGGTTTGTCAAAGTGAGTTGTGATGTGTCTCAGACGCTTCACAGCTGGGCGATGGAGGAGGCGTCAGGCAGGAGCTCGACCGTGGCGTCCCTGCCGGGGGAAAGTAACCTGGAGGAGAGGTGTAAGCAGGTAGTGACCCCTGAACCTTGACCTTTAACCTCCTGACTGGCTCTCCAGGTCACATGGGCCGTCTGATTGTGTTCTCTTGGGCTTGTCTAACACCTCTGCTCTCTGCGATGACCTTCAGGATACCAGCTGATGGTTTTGCTCTGATGTTTGGTGATGTTCAAGCATGTGAGCTTGACGCTGTGAGCGGCTGATAACCGTCTTTCCAGATTTTCTGCTTGATAACCAGATTTTCATTTCTGCACCACTAACACCTTTATCTGAATGACCTTTGACCTTGAATGAAAACGAGGCTGCGAGGGGCAGACGTTCAGGGCAGGATTATTATTGCCAACTACAATTAAAAATAGCAAAAACAAGCACGTACATTGCTAACTGGAAATAAATAGAAATAAACCTAAATACTATTATTAAAAAATAAAAACTAATAAATGAAATGAAATGATTAAAAATTAGACTGAAAAAACTTAACCTAAATAGTAACAATTTAAATGATAGAACAAATTGACTAAAATTCATCTGAAATAAATAAAATTATTTAAACCTTAAATAGTATTATTTTTTTTAAAAAGTAATAAATATAAAACAACAAAATCACTTACAATTAAACTGGAAATAAATACATAAATAAAATAAACCTAAATAGTATTATTTAAAAGAAAAACAAAATCAAATAAAAATTACATCAAAATTACTCAAATAAATTAACCGTAAATAAATACAAATAAATTAAATTAATACTTTTAAAAACAACTACTGTAATAAAGACAGTTACAAGAGTTAAGAAAATAAAGTAAATCTAAATAGTATTATTTAAAAAACTAAACATTAACAAAATTACAAAAAAAATAAACTGGAAATAAATTAAAATAAAGCAAACCTAAATAGCATTATTTAAAAATTAAATAAAATTGCTAGAAATGTAAATATAAAAAAATATAAAAATAAAAGCTATAATAGTATATCAAAAAAATCTAAAATAACACTGATTATTGAAACAACACTACACTGACTATTGAAAATACTTTTTCCAGAAGATTTCCATCAGAAAAAAACAAAACAGAACACTAGAAAAAAAAAAAATCAAATGTGATGTATGAGCTAACGATCTGAATTCTGTCCCTCACAGCCTTCAAGTATTCTCTTCAGATTAAAAATGACGTGGACCCTCACTAATGTCCACTGGGATGCATATCAAACTCAAATCTTATTGAATGTCACTGAAATGTTTTTATTAGCACTGAAGACTTCTCGTGAAGTGACAAAATCTCATATTATTTGATGTTTAATAAGCATCTGTGTGGAGCAGGAAGAGAGCTTCAGTGTAAAACTAAATAAAACTAAATCACTCGCTTTTCACTTCTTTTAAATTGTGCCTGGTTATGTAATGATTTCCTGACCTCATCTGCAGATTTTTCCCTCACTAAATTTTGATATTTCAGAAAACAAATCTTAATATCTCTTCATTTACAGTATCTTGATTTTAAGAGTGTTTGTACTGGAAAAACAGGACAAAAATACTGATAAAAAAATACATAAATTCAGCATCTTATGACTAATGAAAACGGTTTCCGCTTCTAAAATTGCAGCGTTGTTAAATGTTTGTCTCATGACAGTGTTTGTGTGTTTTTCAGGCGGCTCAGATGGTTTTGATCGCCCTGTTTGAGCTCAACACCCCAGAGTTCACCATGCTGTTAGGCGCTCTGCCCAAAACCTTCCAGGATGGAGCCACTAAACTCCTGCACAACCATCTGAAGAACAACAGCAACACCCCCACAGCGGTACACACACACACACACACACACACACACACTGCTCTGATCCTCCAGTCTTCATGATGTAATGTGACACTCACTAACACTGAAGCCCTGTTCACACAGCCCCGCGTTGATACTGGGAAATTGCCAGAATTGCCTCTTACAAAGTACACATTGATGGCCTAAGACACGAAACGAGCGGTTTGTGTGAAAAAACGAACCGTTTTTATATCGTTTTTACCTCTTATAACCACAGCCACGTCCAAGTCACGTCCCAGTGCGCAAGTGATCTCGCGCAGTTGCGAAAAAAAAAAATCAACATTGTCTGTTTATATATATCAAAATCGACTAGATAATCATTGTCTTGTTTTGAAAGTATGAGTGCCTAATGAGGATCACGCCCTAATTGTAATGGTAACTGGTCCCCATACGAGTCATTAAATCATGTTTAATCTGGACTTCTCTGTGCATGCTCTTTGGGGTGGTGACCATAGACCTCCATTATATGACTGACAGACAAGAACGGTTTGACCTAAAAATATCAAACATGTCAAATATCAAATTGACATCACCAAATTACTTGTCTGGCCTGCATAATACAGGATTATTATTATTTTTTGTGAAGTCTCAGGCATCTCCCAGCAGCCCCGTGACCCGCGCTCCTCCCAGACACCCCGTGACCCGCACCAGCCCACTCACGTCACCCACCAACTGCTCGCACGGAGGACTTTCTCCCAGGTACGTCACCCAAAACACAATAATACACAAAACACATCTGTGAAGTTGTGTGACATCATCAGGACTATTATATTCATAATTTTTTATATATATATATATATATATATATATATGAAGAGTTCAGATGCAAAAGCCTCTAAATGTCATTTGAAATTTTCTTCTTTAAGGATGATTTTTATCAAACTTGTATATTTAAGTTCAGTAATTTCACTTAAATAACAATTAATAGGTAATCTTCATTGCCATTTAAGTGAAATTACTGAACTTAAATATACAAGCTTGATAAAAATGATCATTCTAGAAGAAAATTTCAAATGGCACTTAGAGGCTTTTGCATCTGAACTCTTCGTATGTATATATATATACTTTGTATAAAGCGTTATAGAAATAAATGTCACGACTTAATATTCTCAGCTAACTAGAGCTGCATGATTCTGGATAAATTGAGAATCAAGATTTTATTTTTTAAAAATAGAGATCATAATTCTGCTTAGACAACTAAACAAATTACATGTAATTTACTAAAGGTTCTGACAAAATGCAAAATGTCTATTTACATTTTTTTTTAAATTAATTCATTAACATTTAAATCGGCTCATTTATATGTAACTTTTATTGTTAGAATTTCTTCCATGCTTGAATTATTTTTAAAGTTATATTGAAATGCTTACAAAGGAATCGAAATTTTATTTTTATAACAAGTCTCCGATTCCTGACCGTAAGTATTCGAACCCTAGTAGTTTAGTTTATTTAGTCTATTTCTTTATTTCACACATCATCATTATATCATTTACACACAATTTCAGAAGAAACCATGGTCATGTATTGGTCGTGTGAAAGGGACCCTCTAAAAAAGCGACTAAAAGCTTTTAGGAGGGGGCCCGATAACATAAACGTACAACATACAAGATACATAGCACAACAGAAAATAAACACTGCAACAAAAGTCATGTTTGGTTGCGTCTTTCACTCTTTGTCTCTATCCTCCCTGCTCTCTCTTCATCCTCCTCTTCCTCTCGGCCCAGTCGTTTATGGGGCTGGAGCTCAAAGGCCTCTGCTCCTCTCCCTCCCCCCCACTCCGGCCCCACCACCCCCCCTCTCCGGGCCCATCGGAGGGCGTACTCGCCCAGGTAACACACCTCGGCCCGGGCGGCAGGACACTGATTCTCCTGCATACTTTTCATTGGATTGGCCGTCTAATAAATCAAACTCAATGCATGACATTTAAAGGATTGTTTGTCTGGATTGTTGTTTTAAAGGACAACTCCGGCGCGAAATTAACCTTTGGTCTGATAACACATCGGTTATCGAATAATCGAATGTAAAGAGTTTTATCTCTAAAAGTTTTTAGCTTTGAAAGAGACAAATTTAGCCGTCTAGCTCCATAGACTCCCATTCATTTTGCACTCAGATGATCGCCCCCAGTGGCACTCTGGTGGAACTACAACCAAAATTCGGTACAATGGGACTTAATAGGGAGTGGCCAGGCTTATCTTCTTATTCTATGGCCTCGCGTTATAGAGATAAAACTCTTTACATTCGATTATTATGAAATCAAATCCCAGAGAACGGTCGACTTGGTACCAATGTGATTAGACCAAAGGTTCATTTCACGCCGGAGTTGTCCTTTTAAAGCGCGACGCTTCAGGAAAAATCACCGTCTTTTCATGCACTGGTCAGTTTTGAGGTTTTGGCCTATTTTGCTTCCATTCTTCTTTCAGACTAGTGGAAAGAAAATATCCAAAATACACATATAAGTGTAAATGTTTAAGTTTTCATCTGTAGATTTCGATCACAATACATGTCTTTAAAGTCAGAAATCTTTACCCTAGTAAAAAAAAAAACTATTTAAAATACATTTATTTTTCATACTAAGTATACTGCAAATCCTTTAACGTATTTACTGAGCACTATTTTAGTGATAATTCAACTTTATTTGGAATTCTTCTTTATTACACAATGCACATTTCTTAATATTAAGCCTAAAATGTGTTTAATGTCACTATTAGTCTAAATACAGGATATTGCATTAGTTCCACTTTAGCACAATCAAATATACGTTTTGCACTATTTCTGGATAACTAAGTACAAAATAAGTTTCCAATTTAAGTATACAAATTTAGTATATTAAAAGGACAATTGCAGGGTGTTTATATTAAGGACATACATATGTAAATATGTTTGTAGTGTACTTAGCATAAAATAAATGTATTTCAAATACATTTTAGTATATTTATTTTTCACGAGGGTACACAACCAAACTATCTGTGTTCTGATTTATAAAACACTTTATTCCTAAAAAAAAATGGTAAAAAGTGTTTTTTTCTGTCTATTGGCAGTATTTTCTGATTTATGGAGTTATAACTTTTCTGTAAAAACCTTTAACTCTGATATGTCAACAAAATCAAACATGGATTTTTTCTGATTAGATGCTGCCTAATTTGCATATTTAACATTTCAGAAAAGAAAAACAATTGTCTTAATGTTTTTACACTATTCACCTGTAGTGTCTTGTCTTTAAAAATCACGAAAATGATAGCGAAGTGAGAATCCGTCCCACATTTTCATCACTTTTGTGACGTCTTTCTGTCTCTCATTGGTTTTGTTTCCGCCGCTTTGCTTCATGGGACTCGTGGCGAATGCAGAAGTTTGTATGAAACATTTAAGATGCATCACTTTTCCTTTGCAGCTGAGCAGAAAACACATTCATCTCTGTGTCTGTGTGTGTTATATGTTGAAATCAGTGTGTTTGGAGTCACGCCTCTCTGTGTGTTTACAGTATGCTGGAGTACGACACTGAGAACATGAACTCTGAGGAGATCTTCAGCTCTTTGAGAGGCGTAACCGAAGCCATCCAGAGCTTCAGTTTCCGCAGTCAGGAGGAAATCCTCGAGCCCATCAAACGTGACGGCAAGCGGGAAGATCCGGTGAGAACGACACCGGCCAGATCGTCTTCAGGCTGTTGTTTATGCTGCAAAAAGTGTCGTGTTAGCAGCTTGTGGCCCGTGACCAGCTATAGTTTCATTGTTTATAGTTATAGTTTCAGCCACTTGTTGACATAAGAACATCAAATATTTGTTTTTTTTAATACTAAAACCATGAAAAAAATCATTATTACTTCTAAAAAATAAACATTAACGGTAACACTTTACAATAAGGTTCATTAGTTAACTACATTAGTTAACATTAACTAAGAATGAACAAACCTTCTACAGCATTTGTTAATCTTTGTTAATGTTAATTTCAACATTTACTAATACTTTATTGAAATCTTGTTAACATTAGTTAATGCACTGTGAACTAACATGAACAAACAATGAACAGCTGGATTTGTATTAGCTAACGTTAACAAAGATTAACAAAAACAGTTACAAATGTATTGCTCATGGTTAGATCATGTTAGTTAATACATTAACTAATGTATAATAAATCAACCACATTAACTATAATAAAATATTATTTTTGTTATCTAAAATAACAAACTAAATAAAATGAAATAAATATTATAGACTTTTTTTTTAAAAAAAAATACTCAAATGTATAACTAAAATTAAAACAGAAAATATAAAAATAATTAATCCAAATATTAACAAAAGCTATAATAGTTTATCAACGCTACTAAAATAACACCAGCCTTATTTTAAAAAGTGTGATTTATATATATTGATTTATATGAACATATAAAAACATAAATAATGTGACCATTTTGAAAAGCAACTACCTAAAATATACAGTCCCCTGTGGTGAAAATCCAGTTTTTAAAGTTTTTATGGTGTTTTTAATACGCTTTAAGACGTAAATTCATAAGTCGACAGCATAAAACTGCAGTGAACCAAAGACTCAAAAACACGCTTTGAAATCGCTGGTGTTTCTGCCGTCACAAACGACCTTGTAACCGATCAGATCAACGTGTGATCGTCAACCAGTGGAGTGAGTGAGTGAGTGAGTGGGGGAGGGGCTCATTTGCATATTCATAGAACCTCGCATACTAAATGAGGCAAGGGTGTCGAATTACATTCAAGCTGTTTTAAGGCAAGAGTTTTCCCAAGGAAAAACGTTTAAATATTTCGTTTTGGTGAGTTAAAAGAGATACAGCTGTTGACTAGAGGGGGACTTTAACGATAAAATAGAGTTTCTATTAATTAGATATTATCATCACTCAGGTTGAAGTAAAATAATGATGTTTCTCATTCAGACCGGTGTGGCGTCGTCTGGTGTGGATCCTCGTCTGGAGGGAGGCCGGACGGCGCTGGACAACAAGACGTCACTATTAAACACGCCGTCCCCTCGATCGTTCAGCGGCCCGTGGACGCGCGAGTACAACCCTTACAACTACAGCGACATCAGCGCCTACGAGAAGGGAGCGCTCGCCGTGTTCGAGGACGGGGAGCAGATCCGAGAGGGTAAACGAACAAACATCTGCTGGAGAATCTCTTCGTGAGGTTCACAGAAACAGGCCAACGTCTTTGGGTTCTTCTTTCAGGTCTTCAGCAGGACTGTGGAGAAAACAAGATCATGCATCCCAAAGGTTTTTCTGCAGGTGTTGAACGGTTTGAAGTCATGAAAATCTCATTTAACATCTCTCTAGATCATGTATAAACAAGCACACAATGAATATAGCCTAAGTGTTCAGACTGCCAGATCAGTGTGTGTTTATTGTGGTGGGCTCTGATTGGTCAGGACCCGGGCAACCCCTGGAGATGGTTGGTGACCTGCTGAAGGAGCTGTCCAATCACAGCGAGCGTGTGGAGGAGAGGCGGGCCGCTCTGCTGGAGCTGCTGAAGGTCACGCGGGACGACAGTCTGGCCTTGTGGGAGGAGCACTTTAAAACCATGCTACTGCTGCTGCTGGAGACGCTGGGAGATAAAGATGTGAGAGACACGCTCGTCTTCATCACACACACTCATACAGCGGTGTGTGTCCCGGTTAGCCAAGTTCTGTCATTGTTATCAGCAGTTCAACGAGTCGTGTTTCTCGAAACCATCGTTATAACGAACATTCGCAAACAGCATCGCAGAGGTGTGTGTGTGTGTGTGTGTGTGTGAGCGAAGCTAACCTGTGGTTAGAAGCAGTTTCTTGTTTTCATGACATGTGGACTGAATACATTCAAATAAACAAGCGGACATTCAGTGCAATCTGTATCTTTTATTTAGAGTGTATACAAATGTCATTTACGTCTTTGAGTTTGTCGAGATTTAAAGTGTCGTGCGCGCGTGTGTAAGAACGAGTCTATGATCGAATCTGGAAATAAACCAAAATAACTGAGAAAAATTTGAAATATTCCTCAGATGAATGTCTGTAATTTATAGCAAAACATCTGCCGTTAATTGCGTTAACAGATTCATTAAATAAGTTATTACTAAATCATTAACCAATTGTGGTTGAACGACCAATTTGCGACAATATGGTTTCGGGAAACGGTGGATTTCTTCAACGATGCGTCGACTATAGTAGTGAAGCATGAGTTACGGTGTTGAATGGGAAACACACCCCAGATACGCAACAGAACAAACAGATGATGTGTGTGTGTGTGTGTGTGTGTGTGTGTGTCCACAGCACACCATCCGAGCGCTGGCGCTGCGTGTCCTGAAGGAGATCATGCGAGGTCAACCAGCGCGCTTCAAGAACTACGCAGAACTCACCATCATGAAAACACTGGAGGCCCATAAAGACTGCCATAAAGAGGTGAGCGACACACACACTCTCTCTAAAACAGCCTTAAAGAGGACAAAAGCAAAAACTAAAAATCATGCACTTTATCTTTGAAGAACCAGGATTCCCATATATGATATAGGAGAAAGGATATTTGTTATTTATGTTTATCATCATTAACTAAAACCATGAGAAAAAAATGATTACTTGTGATAAAATAAATATTACCTTAAATAAAATGTATAATAACTTATTTTATTTCAGCTAGTTTGTTTCAGCCAAGGCAAATTTTCTCATTTTCATTTAGTTTAAGTAAAATAACAAACTATATAAACTAAAACTAAAAACTAAAATTCAATAAAAAGTATATATATATATATATATATATATTAAAAACAAAATGACAAAATTACTCAAATTTCAACTAAAATTAAAATATAAAAATAATCTATATATATATATATATATATATATATATATATATAATAGCATGTTAATGATAGTAAAACAACATTGGCCTCATTTTAAAAAGTGTGATTTATATATATCAAATATTTAAAGTCCGTGCACATTTCCATTAACCTGTTAACTGTCACCCCCCCTTTTTTGAATAGACATGAAAATGCACATTTCGAACTTAAATGGTTGTAATTCAAGAATGCTTTGGAATATAGACATATGATTGGTCTTGTTTTAAAGAAGACATTTGGCAGATTTTTGTAGAAGTGAAATAAATTAAGAAAGTGAAACAGACAAAAAGTTATAGAGGTTTGAGTTTATGGAAATGTACAATGCAAAAATATTAATTATTCATATTTTACATAAAATATATATTTTCAAAACCTGGGCTACTCTAAAACGGCAGAAAAATCAAAGCCAAAAATCTGAACAAGTTGTGTTTCAAATTTTAGGTTGATATCTCAAAAAATGAGCTTTCAGTAAGATTTTGTTTGAGCGCAGTACCAAACTTTTTCACTAGGGCACAATCAGACTCCATTACTGCCCATATAAGGGCGTCTGCATTTCCATTCGTGTTTTGAGTGATATGAACCATTATTTTCACAATTTTTATACAATTTCTGAAGTAGAGATCCTATTCAGAAGTAGTATGGGAAGTTTGGCAGATTTTGATATGAATTGAACCTCTAAGAAACACATACAAAGAACACGCATGTAAGTCATAGCTAGCTGCCACGTCACAAATGGTGAATTTATTATTTTTTTCTTGATATTTCAAACTTTTCAGACCTTTTTTTTCCAAAATAATTGAATGGATTCTATCTTTTGAACTTTTGGCATGAAAACAAACTGAGGTATCTACCATTTTTTCATGATTTTTCATGTTTACTGCTATTTTAAAATAAAGGTCTGAACACGCCTTATGAGTATGAAAATATTCTTGTTTTATATTGATAAATTATGACTCCTCTGTAATATATTTTGAAAATCAGTCACCAAATATGGAAACTAGAGATTGTAAGCTTTCAAATGATATATAGTTTGTCAATATTATTTAAGGTATTTACTAAAATATTATTGTTTTAAAAATATAGTGGCAAACGTCCCACCTGTGGGACGGTGACAGTTAAGTGGTTAAGAATATACTTTTTTCTAGGTATGCTAAAATATTCTATTAGGTAAAAATTGAGTAAGAAATATTTTATTATAAAATCGGTAAATTATGAACAACCAGAAAAATCATGCAAATTCATTGGCTAAACCGAGCTCTTAAAACTTCTGGAACTTATGAAATTTCATTTGATTTAATTATAATAATTTTATTTACTATATGGTTTAATAACATACTTATTTTAGTATCAATGACAGAATATTATAGTTTTTATTAATATTTTTTGGTTTCAATTTGATTTTTGTGTCGTTTTCTTTATTTATTATTATTTTTCTCTATGTGTCCGTATAGTTTACAAAAAAAATCAGTTTTAGCACATCAAGTTAAACTGAATGAAAATGAGAAATGGTGGCAAATTTCAGTTAACATTTATTTTATATGTAAGGAAAATGTTTTTGTTTTTTTCCTTTTTGGTCTTTTGTAACAATTTTAACCACATAGGAAAACAGAAAATATGAACACAGGAAACAAATGTTATTGTGGACATTGAGAATTTAAAGATAAGAAGTTAAATAAAAAATTGAAGTAAGGGAAAAACACATATTTATGGTCTTATGTAACTATATTATTCCTGATATGTAGTTAATTATCAAAACTTTGATAACAAAAACGTGTCATTACAGCAGATGCACCAGAGGAAACATGAGCTTGATGTATTGTTGTGGACAGTGAGAGGCCTTGAGGTCAGGCCTTCTTCATCATCCGAGGAGGAGGAGGAGGTCGTGTCTTTAATGTTTTTAATGTGCTCCACAGGTCGTTCGGGCCGCAGAAGAAACGGCCTCCACACTGGCCGGATCGATCCACCCCGAGCAGTGCATCAAAGTTCTGTGTCCAATCGTCCAGACGGCCGACTATCCCATCAACCTCGCCGCCATCAAGATGCAGACCAAAGTAATCGAGCGGATTCCCCAGGATTCCCTGGGTCAGCTTCTGCCTGACATTATCCCTGGACTGTTACAGGTATAAACACACACACACACACTGATGCAGAGACAGACAGCGAGATGAACATGTGTGTGTGTTTCAGGGTTATGATAACACCGAGAGCAGTGTACGCAAGGCCAGTGTTTTTTGTTTGGTGGCCATTTATTCAATCATCGGTGAAGATCTGAAGCCTCATCTACAGCAGCTGACCGGCAGCAAGGTCAGGCATCATCAATATATTCATATATTCAAAAACACGTGTTTAGTTTTACATATTTTAAAGTCTTTCAATCAATATTTTGAGTGGATTTTAGGTGGTTTCTTGTTGCAATGCATTCTCTCTATTTTTTAAATAAGTCTCTTTCTCATCAAGGCTGCATTTATTTGATCAAAAATACAGTAAAAAAAAGTGAAATATTAATACTATTGAACACATCTGTTTTCTATGTGAATATATAGTAAAGTGTAATTTATTCCTGTGATCTTCAGCATCATTACACATGATCCTTCAGAAATCACTCTAATATGATGATTTGCGTTGCGTTGCATGAAGCGCTAACACCCAGAAGGCCCGCCTGCAAAGTCATTATTAGCTTATTTAGCGATTAGCTTTCTTCAGTACGGTTGGAGTACTGAACAGAGCGCGGCGAGCATTTGTGCCTATAAAACTTAAACTTTGTTATTTATTTTTGAAATGGCCGCTCGTTTCGCTTGATAAGACCCTTATTCATCGTCTGGTGTCGTTTAAAGCTCTTTGAAGCTGCAATGAAACTCTCGTTTGGACCTTGAACCGTTTGGACCCCATTGAAGTCCATTATATGGAGAAAATCCTGGAATGTTTTCATCAAAAAACCTTCATTTCTTTTCGACTGAAGAAAGAAAGACATGGACATCTTGGATGACATGGGGGCGAGTAAATTATCAGCAAAAGTTTTTTAAAAGTGAACTACTCCTTTAATGCTGCTCTATATTAAAATTAAAATTAATTAAAACAAAAATTTGTCACAGGACCAGCCAAACTATGAAGAAAAGTGTGATTTAGGCCACATTTACACATAGAGAAACAAATATTTCCTCCCCTCCGTTTTCAATAATAACATCGTTTTCAAAAAAGTTCTCATTTACATCAACCCGCATAAATACGCCGTCTATGATCATATGACGTTAAGCATTTTCTGGCGCATAACATGACGTTTGAGAACCTAAAACCCCGTTTCTCCCATTTTTTGTGTAAATGAGAGGCCAAACCACAGGGAAATATCTGCGTCTTCCCTTCGTGTCAGTCAGTATGAATCAAGTGTCTGTTTGTCTAGCTAAAATCTAATAAATGACACGATTTTATTTGGATTAGTGAGCGATAGTAACCCTGTAATGTCCCTGTTTTGTCTCTACAGATGAAGTTACTGAACCTGTACATCAAGCGAGCTCAGACCACCAACAGCAACAGCAGCAGTTCCTCAGACGTCTCGTCCCACAGCTGAACCGTCCTCACACTCTCCCAGAAGACTTTGCACATTTGGTCCATCCTGCGAGTAGATCTTATTTAGGTGCACGTTTGCTTTATTAAAGGGCACATGATTCATTTAACAGGTGGAACCACTTACACAACTTTAACCTGTTGGGGTTTGTGATTGGTTGCGATTGTGCTTGAATGAACATCTGCTACCAACATTGTGTGTGAGAAAGAGTGTGTGTGTGTGTGCGCGCAGCAGTTGTGCCTTTGTGTGAGAGAGCTGTTGCGACGACTTTTATCCTCTAATGCTCTATTACTTTTTACCGTTACATTTTTGCGGTGGCGTTGAACTTCCTCATATTCAAAGCACACGTAAAGTTCTGTCCAATCGGCCAATCAGGAGTCGTGTTTCAAACCTCCAGGTGAGGGCGTCCGTCCGTCTTTAACTCTGCCAGTTTTCTAGAACGCTTTTGGTTTTTAGTGATGAGTGTCATTTTTTTTTTGCGCATCTGAAAATATGCAAGAACAGAGATTGTATTTGTACATTATTTGTTTCATGTCTGGCCAACAGGTGAAGAGGTTTTGCTCAAAGTCTGATTGGAAAAGAGTGAATTTAGTCTGAAATATCTCGTTCCAGCGTTGTACGTCAAGTGATCAAAAAAAAAAAAATATATCTGTAAGATATTTTAGGAGGACCATGATTATTTTTAACACTAACAGAGAGTTCTCCTTTAAATAAGTTCTCCTCTTGTGATGTAAGGACCACACTGATATTGATTTTTTTTTTTAAATAAAAACACAATTTGATAATCTTAGATGGGAACAATTACCAGGAAGTATTAAAATCTCTCTCAATGTTCATTTAGAAATCAAACAGATGCTCCCAAACCAGGTTTAAAACGAAAGTTTCCACTTACAAACACTAGGATTATTGACATGATGTGGTATCTAACAATGTTTAAGCGTATCTGAAGTTTTAGAGCAATAATTTAAACTAAAAAAAAATGATCCAAATTGGATTTTTACTAGTCGTCGATTTGCAGTTTTGTGGTTCAGGTTTGTGCCTGTTCGGCCGGCTAAAGTGCTCTGCTAGTCTTTTTGTAAACGGTTTTAAATCTCGGTGCTTTAATGAATCACTCTGTGCTTTTGCTGAACGTTTTTCCTTTTTTTGGTTTGAATTTAAGCGCCTTACCATGAAAAGAAAGTCACATGTTATCCGCTCTTAGAAATCCCAAAGAATACTCCACACAACCAGCTGGTGATTTTGTGGAGTGAATCCTCTATAATCCTTCTAGTATTTGTTACAATTTATTCATTTAGTTTTAAAAAAATAGATAATGAAGATAATATAATTTAGGGTACGTTTACACAACAGCGATGTACTAAAAACGGAAAAGTCGAGTTTTCCGCGTACAGATGACAACGTTGTCAAAACAATTCAGGCGGATCCACAAAAACGCTGTTTGGCCAGTAGATGGCGATGTCACTTTGTAAAGAAACTGCGCCTTTATAGACTCAACACGTAATGTAGATCTGCACAGAAAATAACAGTATCGTTTTCAAAACCTTGCACTTTGAAACCCGCTTTCAAAAGTTTGCGTTTTAAGGCCCCAAAAACGCCATTGTCGCATAAATAAACGTCCAAACGCAAAAAAAAAAAAAAATTAATTAAGTTGAAAACGGCGTCGTGTAACGGCCCTTACATTTTAAAGGGATAGTTCACTTTGAAATTCATTTTTGATATGTTTTATCTTACCTCAATGGCATCCAACATGTAGGTGTCTTTGTTTCCACAGTATTTTGACTTTTGACATTTTTAGGTCAAACCGTTGTATAATGGAGGTCTATGGTCACCACCTCAAAGAGCATGCACAGAGAAGTCCAGATTAAACATGATTTAATGACTCGTAAATGTAAGTACACACTGATGGCCTAAGACATGAAACGAGCGGTTTGTGTGCGAAAACAAACAGTATTTATATCGTTTTTACGTCTTGTAACCACAGCCACGTCCAAGTGATCTGAGGGCGCGGGTGCGTCGGTCTTGGATACCCTTGAGGTAAGCTAAAACATTACAAAAATTAATTTCAAAATGAACTATCCCTTTAAAACAATTCATGCGATCCACGAAAACAGATAAAACGCTGTATTTTGCTGTTTGGCCAGTAGATGGCGATGTCTATCCCATCCCAGCGCCCCTATAGACTCAAAACGTAATGCAGATATGCACAGACAATAACAGTATCGTTTTCAAAACTTTGCACTTTCAAAAGTTAAGGCCCCAAAAACGCCATTGTCGGATAAATAAACGTTCAAACGCAAAAAAAATTAAATTAAATTAAGTTGAAAACGGTGTCGTGTAACGGCCCTTACATTTTAAAGGGATAGTTCACTTTGAAATTAATATTTGGTATGTTTTATCTTACCTCAAGGGCATCCAAGATGTAGGTGTCTTTGTTTCCGCAGTATTTTCAATTTTGATATTTTTAGGTCAAACTGTTGTTGTCTGTCAGTCATATAATGGAGGTCTATGGTCACCACCTCAAAGAGCATGCACAGAGAAGTCCAAATTAAACATGATTTAATGACTCGTAAATGCAAGTACACATTGATGGCCTAAGACACGAAACGAGCGGTTTGTGTGCGAAAACGAACGGTATTTACAGTATATCGTCTTGACCTCTTGTAATCACAGCCATGTCCAAGTGATCTGAGGGCGCGGGCGTGGGCGCGTCGGTCTTGGATGCCCTTGAGGTAAGCTAAAACATTACAAAAATTAATTTCAAAATGAACCATCCCTTAAAAACAATTCATGCGATCCACGAAAACAGATAAAACGCTGTATTTGGCCAGTAGATGGCGATGTCTATCCCATCCCAGCGCCCCTATAGACTCAAAACGTAATGCAGATATGCACAGACAATAACAGTATCGTTTTCAAAACTTTGCACTTTGAAACCCCGTTAAACGCCGAAATCCTATCGTTGGATAAATAAACGTCCAAACGCAAAAAAAAAAATTAAAGTTGGAAGCGGTGTCGTGTACATTTTAAACACATTCCTAAGGGGCCGTTTGCATGAACAAAAATGTCACAAGATTTATGCATTTTGTCCGTTCATGTACACGACAATGGCATTTTAGGGGCTTTTAAAAACGATACCATTACATTGAAAAACATTTGCATTTTTAAGCGCATCATTGTCGTGTAAAGTACCCTGAGCTATAAGATTTCTGGACTCTGGCAATCAAAACACACGAACTGTGTCCTTCACTACACACACGTCACTACTGTTCACTTCATTAATGCTGGGAAGAGAATCAAATGTTCAGATTGTAAATACTTTATAGTGAACTATATGGACCTGCTAGAATCTTTAATTCAGTATGATAAGCAACAGATCTCAGCGAGGGGATCACCAACTCTGATGTTCCTGCTTTACTAGTGAACTGTGGATAAAGCTCATTTGCTGAAGGGAGTTTTGCATAAACGCTTTGCTAATGCAAGTAGATTCAGACATAGAGCTTCACATGCGACGCATGCCTTCAGTTTAGATGCTCATGTCTGTATTTATTTCACACAGCTGTATATATATATATGAACTGTTTTTGTTAACTTTCACCTGTGTAGGATTTGCTATCTGTAAACTATTTGCTCTAGATAAACGAAACCTGAGTTTTCCACTCGTGTGTCTGAGTGAGTTTTATTTTAGTCATTAATACTTGCTGATTATGCATCCAGGTGATGATATTGAGGTTATTAATCGTGATTTTTCCGATGATCACTGCAGGTTTAATGCTGATGCGTCACAGTGTTTCTGATTGCAGGATGTTTCGTCAGAGCAGATTCGTCCACGACTTTACTTGATTTATGTTTCCATGTTACTTTTTTTGTAAGTATTTAAGTAATAATGTAATTTATTTCAATTTTTAAGAACATGTTCCAATCATAATTTACCACAAAAGTAACATAAATATTTTGAAAACATAAACGCCTGAAATTCTAAAATCATCGTTACACATGTTTACATTTTAAATGATTTTGCATGCAATGAATTTGAATATTTGATCTTAAATGTGATAAATGATCAATATCCTGGAATGTTTCGCATTTGAATTTGATCTTAAATGTGCTTTTATAGTCGTGAAAATAACGTCACAGTGCCAAAACTTTGGTTCTAAAACAACTAATTTCTTTATTTTTAATAATTGAAGTTAAATCTGGAAACTTCTGCACATACTGTGAAACTAGACGTTCCCGAAGCGCTCCGAATGGTTCTCTGTCCGGCTGAAGGTCACGAGTGTCAGGAATGAGATGCTCTTTCATCTGTCACTCTGATGTCTGAAGACTCGGCGGACTTTCACTCCAGACCTTCACAAGTTTCAGTCTTTGTAGCCGTTACCTCCTGTCCTTTGGTTATCCTGCTGCTTTTTTTCTATCTTGCCTTGCGCTTTAAATGGAGTTCCTGTTTTGTAAGAAGGGATATTGAGTCAATAATTATCTTTTGGTACAATTTATGACTGCAGAATTAATCCTGCTGGAGGTTATCCCGTGTCTGTGTCCCGCCAGCAGGAGGCGATAACACAAAGCTGAAGCTCTTGAGTGACTGCAGTACACATTAAAGGTTCATGGCTTTTCATTTGGACTTACTCTTATTTTTTTTCTTTATCTTTTTATAGGCTAGGGATTTAAAGAGAGAGAACTGTATGTAACTACACTGAAAATATTTACTTTAAAATAATTAATTTTCACATGCAATTGGTGCTCAATTTCCCATATAATTACACTCTCAGAAAAAAAAGGTACAAAAGCTGTCACTGGGGCTGTACCTTTTCAAAAGGTAAACTTTTGTCCATTTTAGGTGCTAATATGTACATTTCAGGTGGTAATATGGACATTTTAGGTGCTAATAAGTACATTTTAACTGTTAATAGGTACAGTTTAGGTGCTAATATGTACATTTCAAGTGCTAATATACATTTTAGGTATTAATATGTACATTTTAGGTGCTAATAAGTACATTTTAGGTGTTAATATGTACATTTCAGGAGCTAATATGTCAATTTTAGGTGCTAATAGTAATATGTACATTTTAGGTGTTAATGTGTACATTTTAGGGGCTAATATGTACATTTTTTGTGTTAATATGTACATTTCAGGAGCTTATATGTCTATTTTAGGTCCTAGTATGTATATTTTAGGTGCTAATATGTACATTTTAGGTGTTAATATGTACATTTTAGGTGCTATTAAGTACCACTAAGATACCAATATGCAGCCTTTGGGTATACAAGTGTACCTTTTGAAAAGGTACAGCCCCAGTGACAGCTTTTGTACCTTTTTTTTCTGAGAGTGTACAATGAATGGCAAGTAAGGATTAAATGGGACATTTTGAAGTAGGAAGACTGAAATGTTTTTTCCTTGTAAAACATACTCCTGCAATGTGTTGGATAAACATCAGATTTGTTTTTGTGTTTTTACAGTTTTATTTTCTATTTAAAATTGTATTAATTTCTATGATTTTCAAACTTTAAATTCACTTAATATTTCATGTTTTACATGAGCGTGGAACCCTGCATACTTTTTACTATTTATTAAGTCTGTGAAACAGCATGCAGCATATGCAACTTTAAATATTTCAAGTAGTACACATTTTGATGAAGTCTGAGCGATTTCTGTCCCACCATAGACACAACTACCACTTTTAAGTTCATAAAGAGATCGTAAAATAATTTTATGAAAAGGTTGCTCGATCACATATACTGAACAGATTGAATTTGACTTTTATTCACATTTAAACATTCATCAACAAGCTCAACTGAACCTGCTTGACACGCTAACCTCTTGCTGACGCTCAAACGTGATGCGTAACACGAAAATGAACCTCATTGGTTCTTGCACGTGAAGCGAACATGCTTTAGCTTTCATTTACCACAACTTCTGTTGATATGTGTTCATAGGCTAACAGTCTGTTCATCTGAAAGCAGCTCATGTGCTCTTGCTGTAGAGTCACAAATATTAAATTCGTTGGGTCAAACTGTCCATTCGTCCTCTGAGATCATCATGAAATGAATGACAGAACGCTGCCTGAATCATGAATGACACGATCATAATCATTGATGTCTGGAGAGGTACATGTGTCCTGACACGCCATCATCATCATCATCATCATCAGAGATGAGACGCAGCGAAGCTGAACATAGCGGGACGGCGTGTGATGATCTGTGATTGTATTCTCCAGCATTTGCGCTGACAGATCCGTTAACGTGGAGATATTGATTTACTGTAGACTTCGTTCAGTGTGATTAATCATTAGTGGAATATCACAAGGACTCATTTATGCATCCCCGCGGCACAGTTTCTGTTTTAATGATTGCTGACACTAAAAAGTGCTTCAGGAATTCACAATTTACCTTTACAATCATAATTTTTATTATGACCGATTTATCCAACCCAGTCTCACTGGAAAATGTACGATGTTTAGGAAAAAAATAAGCGTCATAAGCAACGTCATAATTAGCCACAAACTCGCCAAAATATAAAATAGTTTTCAATTGCAGTGCACGCGTGACTTTTAAAAATCTTAAAAGTCGTGACTTTTAAGATTTTTTTCTTTGAAGATTTATTTATTGGCACAAAAGAC